CGATGTAAACAATGACGTATCAAGTACTTAGTTCGCGCCAACCTGATACTTGTATCAATTAATTTAATGGTGTAAACTAGGCCAAAATGGCTTGACGACTTTTTGGTCACGTGATGACTACTGACATTTTTACCGAGAATGATAAAGCAGATAGAGGTTAAGTTCGTACAATAATAAACGTGCAATTAAATTTAATGCACAGGTAAGTATTGTTATGAACAAAATTTAGTAAATTATCTTAATAATACATGCAAATATGTATATAAACCGAGCTGCTTTGTTTGCTGAACGCAGCAATATTGTCAATCGCAATGCAGATCACAATCTATAATGTGATTGGACAATCTTCAATCTCAATCTTAATCTCAATCTTAATCTCAATCTCCAATGCGTAGTCTGATACCGGTTTAAGACTATACTTAAGACGATCTTGAAAATAAGCCTTGACTATGAATACGGGCCATACTCTAATGAATGGTACTTTAATGCTACAGATATACTTTAGTGCAAATGAATGCAAAATATAAAATTCGGGTATTCACCATTATATATGTATATTTTGTCAGAGAGACTTCTGTAATGTCCTTATATATGTGTATATATATATAACACGCACGATCATGTCTCCTAATAATTGATATCTTTAGTGTTCTTTATCGAGACACGACTGTGTCTCTTGATATCAGAGCATTCAGATCTTTTATATTAGATATAATTGCCGCTTTGATTAGATATAATTGCTGCTTGATATATATATATATATATATATATTATATATATATATATACATCGAATCTGACATTCAACAAGAGAATCGTGATTTTAAGACCACCAACAATCATTATTATTTATAGTAAGTATAATTTCGTTGGAATATATATTTCAAAAATGTAGAAAAGTGATACAATTTTATTTGGTCAATAAATTTTAATTTATTGATCGTTTATAGTCCATTGATCGTTGAATTAATTTTTGCCCTTAATTAAGAAAATATAATAATATAACAATATCGCGTAAATTTCGTATTGCGTGATCGAATAGCAAAGTTAAATTAAAAAAGGGTCAGAGTATTTGATTTGGCATATTGTAAGATCACTGACATTCCTTGGAGGTTTCCCTTCCCTCCGGGAAAACCCCGATTTGTATAAAACGCTGTGACGTAATTCAGTTTATCGTGAATTGTTCAGAGTACTTTCCATAATTTTTAGATTAGTCAACAACATACTTGGCGAAAGGTAGAAGTGTAGTATTGCTTCAGATGACAAGTGATGTAGAAAATAGGTGTGATTAAAGTAAGTTTTAATTAAATCAGAAATGTTGACGTATATGTAATGATTTCGAGATATAATACTTAAATATGTCGCACAAAATAGAAATAATAGAAAATTAGCATTGAAATATAGTTGACGTTTGAGGTTAAGATGCGTCATGGCTCCAAAAATGATGTCATCTCCTTGAATTAGATAAAGTGCGCGTAACTGTTACGATATAACAAATATCATAATAACAAATATAATATCATAATTATTTTAAAAGTACGAAGAGGATTTTAGCAATATAACTTTTGAGTTGATATTCGGTCGATAAATAATTTTGCGATCTCATCTGATTAGAGTTTGACCAAACATTACTTTGACAGGAAGATAGAACCTAATACATATTATTCACCAATGTGATTTTCCTTTATTTACAGAAAAGGAACTCTATATAATTATTAAACTTCTAAAAAATTTTGCAAACATAATGGCTACGAAGGAGGTTACAATGGAAGAAGAGGTTACAGACATAATTTGGGTAAGTTTTCTTTTAATACACGCAACCAAAATATTGATAAATTCTTATGTTATACTGGTTTTCCGAATATTAATTAACTAATTACTCAACTTGCTTGTCTCTAGTGTTTCAAAAACATAATTTAAAACTTGAATTTGACGGTAGAGAATTTAGTCACTTGATATATATTCTTTTATAATTTTAACAGAGACAAAAATGTTTCACTGCGTGCGTATATGTTAATGCTAATGGTATATATTTTTTTTTCAGGAAGAGATGAAGACTCTTGCTGTGGAACAGCAACAATGTTTGTATGAACTTCTTTCTGACTGCACAGAATATAAAAGTGACGAACGTAAATATCTAAGACAGAATATTGGCTATGCAATTTATGGGCCACCAAAGAGCACAAAGGATGCAAGTGAAACAGAAAACAGTATTTGTTTTTGCACTACAGAGAATCTGGACAATACAGATGCAACTGATACAGTTGGTTATGAAGATAAAGCTGAAAAAGTGATAGATAAGATATATAATAAGATATGTGCATGTACTGTAGGAACTGATGATTCTCAACCAATTTACAGTGGTGTAATTTATAATGTGATATTCCGTCCTAAAACAAATGTGAAGCCTAAGAAAGAAGAAGTAAAGAAGGAAACCAAGAAGGAAGCAAAGACAGAAGAAGTAAAGAAGGAAACCAAGAAGGAAGCAAAGACAGAACCAAGTACAGAAGGGACAAAAAAAGAAGAAGCAAAGGAAGATGAAAAAAGACTGCTCGTCATATCGCCCGTTCCCATTTTTACAATCAGAAAAAATGTTCAGGAAAAATCCGAAACTAAAAAGAGCGTAAAACAAGAGAATACATCAGATGCTGTTACTGCTGAACAGTACGAAACATGGTACATTGATGTCTCTAGCAGAGTATATAAAGATTGGACAGACTACAAGAAAAATAATACTTTACCAAAGTGCACTATGGTTCTTCCGCAAGATGGTTCTTATCAACCAAATCCAGCCTATCCAATTACAGAGGATTATTCGACAGTTTGGCTGGAAATTATGAATTCTCCTGCATGCTCATGGAAATCAGTACTCTGTACTACAATGGACATCGCTTCCGGTATCGTTGGAGTTGGCGCCGCTGGCTTGTCTATCGCGTCATTGTTTACTCCTCTTGCACCAGTTGCTATCGTGTCAGGTAAATTGTCCCTCAATAAATAGTGCAAAATCAATTTATTTCTCATATTAAATTGATTGCGTAAGTTATAATTTGCCATTTTATATCAGAATTTATTTCAATATAAAATCATGAGACATTGTTTTACACTTTATTATTTATCACCATACATTAGGTCTTGCTGCTACTGGTATGTCTGGCCTTTGGTCGTTTGGCCGAAATTCCCAACAATTAGCAGACCGCAATAGTCATGAGGAATCTATTCATATTTTGGACAAAGAGGCATTAGCACATTACCTCGCCATATTCGGTACAGCAGTTGGTTTTGGAGTAATTGGAGGATCGGCGATTATTTCCAATGTCGCTGCACGTGGTATGACAGTAAATGCCGTTGCAAGAATAGCATTCAATACTATACAAGGTGGCAACCTGGTCCTGAACGGTGTTGGCATTATATATCAGGGTTACTGTATGTATGACAAATATGTAACGGAGAAGACCGTCAGTATCGTAGACGCGTTAAATTTAGCGACGCACATCATGTTTTTCTGCGGCTCCGTGGTAAAGGTTCAATTCGCCAGCGACATCATCGAGAGTACCCAGGGTAGAGTTATGAGTGATTACAAGGAGACTTTGACCAACAAACGTCTCCGTAAAAAGTACAATCGCATTGTGAGGAAAGCTGAGGCAAATAATGTATCTAAAATATCCGAGAATGCGGAGGTGATACGCTATATAGAACATCGTCGACAACTGTTGCCTAACCAATCTGCAACTAACAGTGGTAGCCGGATATTAGACAATACTGTAAAAAATACTAAGGATAGTATTGTATGGTCGTTCGAATGTGGTAGATTAAAAGTCAATGGTATCACATTGTTAGATCCTGTCGAATATGTTACTAAATTGATACGACTTGGCATATTTATCGGGTTCGACCAAAACGATTCGTCTGATGCACATCATGCACATGTCGATCCTACCGTTGACCAAATGACAAGAGTACTTTGTGATTTATTATCAAAGTTATATGTAAGCGACGATTGTCCAAATGTCGCGGAACTACCGACAATGCCTGACTTCGAACCGCTGCTAAGGGAAATGAGATCTATGCATATTACTGAAGATTTCTTGGCAATGCTATTTAAAATCGCTGTAAAGTTAATGAAACGTTCCCGAAATATGGACGATTTCTTATTCCAGATTTTTACTTTTATTTGGCAGTATTGTAAAGCAAACTTGAAAAAGTGGGGCATGAGTTTATGCACGCAAAGCGCTTCCGGTAGTAAGATTTTGCAGAAGATTATCATTGCAGTTCACGAAGCAATTGATATGGTGCTTGATAATTTATATTGTGCCTTTGTAATATATATCGAGTCTAATGTGCATAGATGGAGAACATGAATTCTAATATGACTAGCATAAAAAAAACAAAATTAGAGAAATGAATGCGCACAATAGTTGAGCAGTAAGCACAATTTTTATAGAAATATATGTTATAACAACATTTAATATATGTTATACTTATAAGCAATATGCTAATAGAGTTTAAGCTTTGGAGTAGAGTAATCAAGTCTTTTGCACATTAGTTTGTGCTGAGATACATAGTCGAACAGATATTGAAACTCTGTTTATTTTTGTATAATGTTTTCTAAATATATAATCAGAATTAATTGTATTGGTTGATCCAATCCAATTTATATCAAGAGATACTATCTAATTAAAATATAACAATCTTAGAACAACTTTTGTGTATATATTTTTGAAACATATCTTTTAACACAGCGTCTTAAATAAAAAATGAATAGTATTATATGTTTCTAAAGTATTGTAATCTACAGGCATCTAAAACAAAACATCGAAATATGTAAAAAAAAATCGGTTGAAGGATATAATGCTTAAAAGTATTAAGTTATTTAAATTATCAAGAAATCAATAGTTTACAAGATATTTTACATTTTCATATTTCATCGAAATATGGAATGCTAAGGTGTAAAATAGCTCGCAAAATACGAATTTTTCGATAACTTTAAGAAATAATTAGAGGAATCATATTATATAAAAAAAATTATTCCAAAAAAGTAAAGGTGATTTTTAAATAACCTTGAAAAATCGATTTTTTAAGAAATTAATTTAATTCATTATTTGTCCCCCTTCAAATCATACAAATTTGTCTGAAACATTTTTAGCTACCGATTTAGCTTTTCATATATTCCAATGTTTTGTTTTAGATGCCCCATCATGTGTATATTTAAATTTTAAGTTGTTAAAAAGAAGAAAATTTTCGCAATTTGGAACAATTTAAAATTCTTGAAAATATACTACACATCATATAGTGCCTTATATTTCAATCTTTTGTAATGTTATATATGATTCTCATCGAAAATTGTAAAATAATAAACATCTACTTATGCACATATCGTACGTTTTATTAAGAATAACATTACTTAGTATAAAATCAAGTATCTAAAAATAAATATTAAGTATATTTGAAAAAAAAAAACTAATGCAGCAAAAGGATTGTTTTATCAAACTTAATTTCATATAAGAGATATACATATACCTTAATCTTTGGACTTTAGAAAAATCAAAAGAAAAGAAATAAATGCAATAATTCTGAATCATTTCTTCACTTCTACGAATGAAAATAAATGTATATATATATATCTTCTTACACTGAATTTTATTTTAATTTAATAGAAAGTTTTTTTATATAAATACAATTTGGTATAATTATACTTATTTTATTTTTATAAATGTGTTTCTTTTTGAAAAAGTTTCATTTTTTCTTTTTTACATTCTTGTTAAATCCTTATATTTCATTTTATTTTATTTTTCTCTTATTAATAAATTTAGATATTTAGAAAAAAAAAAAGAGAATTGTTTCCTTTTTCTCTTTACAATGTAATTATGAAATTAGTTCTCATCACTTTAAAGATGATCTCTCCGAGTAACGTGCAAATGTACGAGGGAAGATAACAATAAAAGGATTGAACGTAATTCAAACGCGAGGACGATCCGTCGCCGTGGCTCTCATGCGGGTACCATCTTAATGCGGCGCGTGCGCGCTCGATGATTGCGGATCGGCACGCGACTCAGTCAGCTGACCTGTCTTGTGATAGCAGCAGCTAGGCCGGACTCGCGAGACAGGGCAGGCCATACAGTTCCCGTCGCTGGCTGGACTTGCGCTGGAAAACGTCGCACCTCACGCCGTGAGTATTCGCGGCCGGGTCAATTGACACGGCCGTCGACGTCCCGTCGCTCGCGCGGACGGCTTCCGAGTCAACGTTTCAACGTTGTGAGATCCGTGCGCGAGCGAGCGAGCGAGCGAGCGTGCTGTAGTATATCGATCCGGTGGGCACTTGGCGTGCGCCATCGTCTCACCCGAATCGGGCGCGAATCCGCGAGACTCCCGGCCGATTTTTCGGCCGGGAAGGAAGCGGTCCGCCGATCGCGCGACGCCCGTCTACGGCGACGCTCCGCGCGATCGATCGCGCGGCCGTCCGCGACGGCGAAAACGGCCTCGTCCCCGTCTAGCAGACGGTCCGCGATCTTCGCGGGGCTACGCCTATTTTTTTGAATGGCCTGCTCACGTGAATCGCGCAGCAGGCAGGCAGCGCGCGCGACAGCGTGCGCTACCGTCCGACAGTCCTTCTCGGCCGCAATGATTGACTAGCCCATCACCCCGATTCATCCTTGCTTTCTCTCTTGTTTAACTTCAACCGCAGCGAGTAATATATATTTATCCGATTCCCTCGTTCTTCCGCGGCGCGGGCGGGGGGAAAGAAAATTGCAGGAAGGCGTAGGAAGCGGCGCGGAAAAAGCCAGACTTATATTCGCTTGATTTGTTTGTATTATTTTTTTCGCTGTTCTGTCACTAAGTTTCCTCAATATTGGATGTATTTGAATTGAAAGACAAATGTTCAAACTTAAATTATAGGATAAATATTATAGGATAGAATAAAATTCTATCGAAAAACTATACCGACTAGCGCACATATTCACGTATGGCTTGAGCTGCAGCAATTAAGATAAAAACATATGTCAATTTATGCGATAGCAATTCGTTTTTCTTACTTTTTGCGACATTTAATTCGCACAACCCAATGACTAGATCATATGTAGTTTGAAAAATCATTGGATAAAAATTGTATTCTTATACTAGAATACAATCACTGATAAGATAAAATATTTTTAATGATTGCCTCTTGAAATATTCTTGAAATATATACATACATACGTACATAGATATATAAAGAGAAAACTTTTGTGAGAAAAATCATATCATATGTTATTTAAATGTTGAATTTTTGGGGAGAAAATATTTAATTTTTAAGATGTAGTTTCATAACTTTCTATATTGTTTAAGTTATATTGTTTCTGCTGTCTCTCTCTAACATTTTAATTCATATAGAAAATGTGATGAAAAAAAAAATAATTATAATCTTAGCTCGATAATTTTTTAATTCTATTTTCTGCAAAATGGAATATTATTGAATACAGAATATTAGATACAATTTCTTTTTTTTTCCAGGTAAATTAAGTGTACGTAAATCAAGATGACAAATCATAGTTTACCGAAGATTGCGCATGAGGAGCGGGAGGGCAAGTTTGGATATGTCTATGCAGTATCCGGACCTGGTCAGTAATTCTTCTCATATGAATTTCATCGTATTCCGTTACGTATTCCGCATTTTATTTGACATTTTCTCGTTACAGTCGTTACCGCTGAAAAAATGGCTGGATCGGCTATGTACGAGCTCGTGCGAGTCGGTTACTACGAGCTGGTGGGAGAGATTATCAGATTGGAAGGTGACATGGCTACAATACAGGTAAGAAGTGTTCAACTGTGCACATTTATGTTCCACCTTAGGATGTTGGAGGAGCTTGCCTAATCTGGTCACGTGTTCAGGTATACGAAGAGACGAGCGGCGTGACAGTTGGCGATCCCGTGCTCCGCACCGGAAAGCCGCTGTCCGTCGAATTGGGCCCCGGCATCCTCGGCAGCATCTTCGACGGTATTCAGCGTCCGTTGAAGGACATCAACGAGCTCACGAGCTCGATCTACATCCCGAAGGGTATCAACGTACCCGCGCTTTCGCGTACCGCTTCATGGGAATTCAATCCGCATAACGTGAAGAACGGCAGCCACATCACGGGCGGTGACTTGTACGGCGTCGTGCACGAGAATACCTTGGTGAAGCATTGGATGATCCTGCCGCCCAAGTGCAAAGGCACGGTCACGTACGTCGCGCCCGTTGGCAACTACACTGTCGATGTGAGATTTCGTTTATTACATCATTTCATATTCTATAGTCTGTACTCTGTATATAAATAAATTTACATAAATATGTATTATCATTGTAGGATGTCGTATTAGAGACCGAATTCGATGGCGAGAGGCAAAAATATACCATGCTTCAGGTACGAAATATATCTTCATACACACGCGCACACACACACACACACACACACACACACACACACACACACACACACAAATATATATGAGAATTTTGAGTGTATTGCAAGTTGTGTATTGAATTTACGTTACGTTTTATGCAGGTGTGGCCAGTCCGTCAACCTCGACCGGTCACTGAAAAATTGCCAGCTAATCATCCTCTACTCACTGGTCAACGAGTCCTGGACTCTCTCTTCCCGTAAGAACATTTTACATTTTAATAAGCATGTTATAGAAATCTAAGAAATATTTGAAACACGTGTGTACAACGGGTGTTACAGATGCGTCCAGGGTGGAACCACGGCTATTCCCGGTGCTTTCGGTTGCGGCAAGACCGTCATCTCGCAGGCCTTGTCCAAGTACTCTAACTCCGACGTGATCATTTATGTCGGTTGCGGAGAACGTGGTAATGAAATGTCCGAGGTATTGCGCGATTTTCCTGAATTGACCGTGGAGATCGAAGGCGTCACCGAGTCCATCATGAAACGTACCGCTCTGGTCGCCAATACGTCCAACATGCCGGTAGCCGCGCGTGAAGCGTCCATTTACACTGGTATGTGCGATGCATCATTAAGGAACACTTATAAATTCACTAATTTAATTCATGTAGAAATTATGTTTTTAAACTGTGTTAAAGAGAATAATCTGTTATTTTTTTTTTTACATATAGGTATTACACTGTCCGAATATTTCCGTGATATGGGTTACAACGTATCGATGATGGCGGACTCGACGTCTCGTTGGGCCGAGGCTCTCCGAGAAATTTCAGGTCGTTTAGCTGAGATGCCTGCCGATTCTGGTTATCCCGCTTATCTTGGCGCTCGTTTAGCCAGCTTCTACGAACGCGCCGGAAGGTATGTTGTCGCATCGTGATATACAAAGGCACAGGAATAATTCTTCGTCTTTCACTAAATATCGAACAAAGACAAAATGATTCCTGTGTCGATATGTGTGTTTCTTGCTGGACAGCTCCCAAAATAATAATATGATCAAGTATCTTTCTCGAAATCATGTAATATTGTAGAGAATCGTATATTATACGATCTTGGAAGAAATTTATATTAAAGTAAATAATATCTTGTCATTGAGCAACGCGACTAAATATACTATCTTAATTTTTATGCAGAGTAAAGTGTTTGGGAAATCCAGACCGTGAAGGATCCGTCAGTATCGTCGGTGCCGTATCACCGCCGGGTGGTGACTTTTCTGATCCTGTGACTAGCGCGACACTCGGTATTGTGCAGGTACAAAAGACATCTGCATAAAAAATTAAAAAAGATGATGAAATTAATTAAAATTAATTTTTTTAACGAACTATTTAATTTTTGTTAGGTGTTCTGGGGTTTGGATAAGAAGCTTGCGCAGCGCAAACACTTCCCGTCCATCAATTGGCTTATATCGTACAGTAAATATTTGCGAGCACTGGACGATTTCTACGACAAGAACTTCCCGGAGTTCGTCCCGTTGAGGACGAAAGTGAAGGAGATCTTGCAAGAGGAGGAAGATCTGTCGGAAATCGTGCAGCTGGTAGGCAAGGCTTCGCTCGCCGAAACGGATAAAATCACGCTCGAAGTAGCAAAATTGCTGAAAGACGATTTTCTGCAACAAAACAGGTACAGGACCTATTTATTGTCTTACGATAGTTTTACGTCAATATTGTGAATGATTAAATGTTGAAAGAATTTTTTTCGTTCTTTTCTGAATCTTTTTTTTTTTTAATTTCTTCTAGCTACTCTCCGTACGATCGTTTCTGTCCGTTTTACAAGACCGTGGGAATGTTGCGAAATATGATCGCATTCTACGATATGGCAAGACACGCGGTGGAATCAACAGCCCAGTCAGATAACAAAATCACATGGAATGTCATTAGGGATAGCATGGGCAATATCCTCTATCAATTGAGCTCTATGAAATTCAAGGTGGGTAGCTCTAAGCCTAAGCAAATGTGTCTAACCTTCTCATAGTTATAATTTTAACGTATCTCTTTTTTTTTTATTAAAAATTTGTCTAAAACTTTTTTTTAGGACCCCGTTAAGGACGGCGAAGCGAAAATCAGGGCGGACTTTGATCAGCTGCACGAAGATATTCAACAGGCGTTCAGGAATTTAGAGGACTAAATTTCTAACTTGTCACTTGTTAAAAGCAATTTTAAGATATTGATCGTTCTCGTAACTTGGCTCTAACATTTAAGGATGTCCCGGTCCAACTAATGAAATGCAGATAACCTGCTAAAAATACGACTACCTGCAGAGAGCATTATCGATTATGTCATATATTATTTGCTGAATACACGTCATCCTTGGAAGCGTTTGAGTGAATTGTAAATAGAGAAGCTACATTGAATACCACGCAGCGAAATATTCGAGTGAATGTCATGTCATGCGCGTGACGATTGTGACAATAAAGTGGGACATTCTTAAATGCGTTCGAAGCGTACATTTAAAGATACGCTCCGCTTCCTCGCGAGTTAAAAATCGCTTAACTCGAGAGCAGAGAGCTACTTGTAATTAATTATCGGATATTATCAGAGAAAGTAATTTTACCTTTTGCGCGGAAATATACTTTTCGTTTCCCGTTCCGCTTTGTTGATTAAGATGCAAATAACCGAGAAGTTAATAATTCCTATATGTTTTCCGTATATGTGTAATATAAACGAAAGTATAAACCGGCTCCCCGTTTGATCGTGACGCGCGCAGATTAGGATTATGGTATGAGAAGATACTCTTAATTACCAGTTACACGGCACGTGGATAGCACGGCAATTCGTATCTTGCAAAAAGATTGTGAATCGTGGAGTATTAAATATTGTAACATATAATGTACCATTTAAGTGCGATGAACGTCCATCGCAACTGTTATGCATAATATAAGCATACTATACCTTAACGTTACAAACAATAATTTGAAAGTTTAGAAAACGACATAAAACACACATATGATACGTTAGACAAATGATCAAGGTGCAGGGACTTCGTCGTACCGTGAAAGATAAATACGAAAGGAAACAAAAATGTGTGCGCATGACTAGTGTTCCATTGACTTCGATATCATTTCCATTGTATGATATGTAAAAAAAAAAGATACAATAAAAATATGCACAAGAGGATCATAAACTTGCTGGACATGGATATATGACACAAATGAGCCAAATAAAATCTCACAGACCTCACCACTCTCAATAGACCTCATTTTAATTATAATTATCATTATATAACAATAACCTCGCGATATATACATCAACGATATATTACATTCCGATAATCTAACGTTTGGTGGACTCGAAAATTTTGAAGTCTTTCCTTTTTTCCAAAAGAATATTGTTTTGTATTGACAAAAATATGTTGTTGCCACATGTACGTCGCTCTATACATGTGTATAATTAATCTCACAATGACAATTTGAATTCTAAACTCACCCTATCAGATGTTCTATTCTAAAATTATGAAAACAGTATTAAAAATAAAAAATATTCGACTTCTGCGCAGTTCCTACACTTCGTTTGTCATCTGCAGACTCTTTATGTGAATCAACGCAAATTGCTTCCTTCCTCTGTATTCTTTCGACCGCACCGTCGTTTAAATTTTCCAAAAAGAAAAAAATTTTGTCAATGTTTTGATATTCACAGCCTTGATGTTTCAACATATGCTAGTTACTTACATTGACACATATTACATCTGATACTTAAAACATCTTCTATGTAACAGTCATAACTGCACAGCTCTATTATCAGTATTACATTTTCTATTTCATCAAATTCATTTAATTAAACAATATATAGAAATACATTTCTAAAATATACACATTAATACACATTTATATGATAATTAAAATTTTACTTTTCCAAAAATTGGAAAAATTTTTCAGTATACGTACTATAAATTATCATCATAATATGTGCACAGCATTATATTACTTATATGGTTGATATGAATCGATCCCTTGACTTGAAGATCTTTCTTTATGTAAGTTTATACGGTTAACTTTGCGTTGTATCATTTACTGTCACAAAATAATTACTTAACAAAATAAAATTATTCTTTCTTAAAATTTTCAATTGTACAACTATGAATTTGTAAAAAGTTTTACTTGTTTTTTTTTTTAGCTTTAAACTTAAATATCATTCTGTAAAATAAAATCTTTTACTTGCTGAATGAAAATTAATAGTTAAATTAGTAATTAATTTAACTATTAATTTTAATTAATAAATTTATGAATAAAGTACAAAATATATTGCATCTGTTATTACAAAAATGTGCAGTTATGACTATACTATTAGAAGTACTCAGTTTAAAAATTAAGGCATCTCAAAACTTGGTAAGACCGATGCAGACAGAGAATTATATCAGATATAAAGAAAAAAAACAAAAACAAAATCTTAAATTCCCTTGTGAGAGAAGACAACTTATAGACTCTAATATTTACAGAAAGAGCCACTGACTCACGAACTAGAGGAAGCTTAAGGACTCAAGTGTACGTCGGTGCCGGCCGATGGCGAGGACGATATTTGCGATCTAAGCTGAAGATTCTCGCGTTTCAATTGGGTAACTACTTGCTTCAGCGTCGTGATCTCCTGCTGCAGCTTCTCGTTCTCGCGCAGGTATTGTCCCAGATTTTGATTAGCAGTACGCAATTCTCCTATGTACTCGCAGGCCCTTGCTAAGATGCCTCCTTTACTCTGTTGCAAAAAAAAAAACAGTAGCACCGTTAATGCCATTTGAACAATTATACGGCAAGAACTTCGCTCAAGAACTTTTATGTACAGTCGTGGACATATCGGTTGCGACAATTTTTTTTTATATGTTTCAAAACACTAATATTTTGCAAATGCGAACTACGATTGATGTTATACTGTTTCCTAGACTAAAGATAGAGTACATCGTGGTTTGCATTTGCAAAATATTAGATACCTATAAAATATATATTATGTATATTAAATATATATTAGAAACCTATAAAAAAAAAGTGTCGCAACACCGATCTGTCCACTGACCGTACATACCTGAGTTTCATAGTTGGCTTTTCCTTCTCCGCTACTGCCGCTGCCGGTGGTAGGGCAGGTTGTGGTGTGGCAGTCAGGGATGATCTTGCCCAACTTTGTAATCCAATTGTTTATCTTATCTCTACGCCGGCGCTCGACTTCGTTGTGCGTTGCTCTCCGCCTGTCGTCTCGCTGAGAGAAAATACAGAGGAGAGAAATAACTTCTCTTTTTTTTTGCACAGAGTAAAGAATAAATAAGACAATAATGTACAGTCATGGACACATCAGTTGCTGAATGAAAAATGCTGAATTTCTTTTTTATAAGTTTCAAAATGCACTAATATTTTGCAAATGCGGACCACGATTGGTATTATATTGTCTCTAGATTAAAGAAAGTACATCCTGGTTCGCATTCGCAAAATATTAGTTATCTCTAAAGTTTATATTATGTATATTAAATATATATTAGAAACCTATAAAAAAAAGTATTGCAATTGATGTGTCCACGACTGTACATCGCACGAGACAACAATACAACGTCAAACCTTTTTCAAACCAGCGGTGCAATTCCTCGGGGTTTCTATCTGCAACGTAGCCGTTCTCGGCACCAAGGACCTCGATGCCTGAGCCGTGGTGAAGACGTCGTTGGCATTTCCGATAACGTAAAACTGCCCGTTCAGTGGCGACGTCAGAACCTGCACGGTATTGTTCGGCTGGGTCGCGGGCAACTCTATCTCGTTGGCCGACTGTATAGCCGCCGTGCCGTTCACCTGGACGACCCGGTACGCCAAGGCTTCGGGATAGCGTATCTCATGTTCCGCGACGGGTTCTCCTGAGAGAGACAGAATGCACAAGGTTCATCGAACGAGTCATGTGTTGAAATCTGAACGTTGGACGCTGGATACAGCTCGCGAGCAGAAGAGCACATTGCTCGAGGAAACTCATGAAAATACGGCTTGCTCTCTTTCTTTCTCTCTCTCTTTCTCTCTCACCTTCGCAATCCACGATCTCCGCTTCCTCGATAACGATCCCCGCCGTGCCATCTCCGTCGGTCTTCACGGTGCTGCAAAGTCAAGATGACACTTTCAGAACGCGACGTATCGTCTCGTCTTAGAACGCGACTTGGCATTGCTATTTATGTGTATTACTTCGACGACCCGTGCGTCGCTCGGTCCTACGGCGTAAGTGCGCACTGTGCACTAAGTGATGATGACCTTGAGGAGACCTCGGGCGAGACGGAAAGGATGGGTGTTCGTAATATCGGGCGATCGACATTTAACGTAAACGCTACCTGACATCCTGTTGCTCGAGCTGCTGCTCCAAAATGTCCATTCCTCGACGCCGAAAAAAAAAAACGTTTGAATTTGTCGAAATTCACGTGAGCTGGTCACGGGACACGGCAACGAGGTCATGTGGTGTGCGGTAAAATGGCGTCGCGCGTCGCGCGCGCCATCCGGCAGCGCGCCAACGAAACGACGAGTGTCATCCCAACTCCGTCAACGCCGTCGACGGCACCGTTGGTAACTTCGCTGCATTCAAAATCTCATTTATGTCCTGCACTTTCCAAAGTAATTTTTCATTTTAATCTTCTCAGGTCAATTTACTCTTTATTTTTATCAACGCAGACACAACTTTACTCCTAATCTCTTTCTAAGTTAACATGAGAATTAGAAAAAGATTATAAAATTAAATCTCCAAAATTTATAAAGTTGGACTACTTTAATTATTGGCAGAAATGGACGTTAAAACTATGAATAAAGGATTAAAAAATTAAATTTAGTCGAAATTAAAATTAATCTACATTGGTGGAAATGATAAAAATAAATTATGTTAGAGAAGTGACGTAAGTTTGCGAGCCGGGTTCTCAAGCAGAGAACAGCACCATCATTTTCCCTCACCACTGCCACCGATGACGTCCGATTCCTCTCTCTCTCTCTCTCCCTCTCTCTCCCTCTGTCTCTCTCTCTTTCTCCCTCTCCCCTCTCTCACCGCGAGGAGGGTCCACCGCGTGTGTGTCTCGTTATGTTTTCGCCCGCCGGAATTTTGCGCGGAAACGTTGGGCGTGAGTAGCCGAGAGATCACGCGACACGTGTTTTGGCTCCCCGGTGCGAGCAAGGTGCCCCGCGCGAAGAGGCAATCGCAATCCATTCCCGCCGAGATCGCGAGACTTCCGCGGCGCCCGTCAGGATGACCAGGTGAGCGGCGCGAACTTTTTGGAGGTTAGCTCGTGGGACCTGTTCGCGCGGCGAGCGAACAGTCACCCCCACGGAATTTTTCCCACTTCGACTATTTTTTTTTTCCCCCGCGAGGGCGAACGCGGGCAACGGACGGCCTCGTCGCTCGTCCTCGAGATTCGTCGGAACCTGCACGCGGCCGTCCCGCCGATCTAACGTCGTCGTTGTATTCAATTTTTCAGGTCGAAAATAGAACTGGGCGATGTGACACCGCACAACATAAAGCAGCTGAAATTGCTCAATCAAGTCGTATTCCCGGTCTCGTACAACGAAAAGTTTTACAAGGACGTACTGGAAGCCGGAGAGCTCGCCAAACTAGCGTATTACAATGACATAGTGGTAGATAGATCTCAAATGAATTTTCGAATTGGCGTCGCGGTTCTCGAATTTTGCTTTTCACGAGTACCGTGGTTCCGAGGAACATGACACTGATTCACACAATGATAATAAGCCAGTCAATTCAGGTGGACTTTAATTGAGGAAAATCCATACTGTTATTTTATTTTACATTATCTGAAGTGCTTTTCGCAAGCTAAGAAAGTTCAAGAGTCTTATTGATGTGATATCAAATTGTTGCCGAGTTAATTCTAAGCAGAATCATAAGACTTGTTAGAACTTGTGACTGCTTATAACTTTATGCAACATCTTTACAGACAGCTTCTTTTGCTAGTCATTTACAAAAAATCATAGATATATTTACGAATAATCATTCATTTTGTGATACGCACAGAATTATAATTCATACGGTCTTACAAGAACAAGTTAACCTTACAATTCTACAGAATGCTTGTCAGTTGAATATAGAATTAGGTTTTGATTTGTGTCACGATTCTCAGATTGGAGCAGTTTGCTACCGTATGTAGATACACATAACGATAAAAGTCAGCTAATTCAGACAGACTTTAATTGAGGAAAATCCATACTATTATTTTATTACATTATCTAAAGTACTTTTTTGCAAGCTAAGAAAGTTCAAAAGTCTCATTGATGTGATATCAAGTGTTAAGAGTCAATTCTAAGCGGAATTGTAAGACTTGTGAGAACTTATGACCGAATGTCTATAACTTTATGCAACGTCTTTACAGACAGTTGCTTTTGCTAGCCATAAGATTTACAAGAAATCATAGATATATTTACGAATAATCATGCGTTTTGTGGTACGCATAGAATTATATAATTCATACGGTCTTACAAGAACAAGTTAACGGACCTTACAATTCTGCTCGGAATTGACTCTTAGAATACTTATCTGTTGAATATAGAATTAAATTTTAATTTGTGTCACGATTCTCAGGTTGGAGCAGTTTGCTGCCGTGTAGATACTTCGGAAAATTCTAGGCGTTTATATATAATGACACTGGGTTGTTTGTATCCTTATAGAAGATTAGGAATTGGCACTGTTATGGTCCAGCACGTTTTAAACTACGTTAATAAGGATGGCAATTTCGATTCTATCTTCCTGTAAGTATGGTCTTCTATTGTGACATATCATCTTGGGGAGAATATAATTTTTAATATAAAATTACCTAATATTCGCAGACACGTTCAAATAAGTAACGAAGGCGCGATTGATTTTTATAAGAAATTCGGATTCGAGATTGTCGAGACTAAAGAGCATTACTATAAGAGAATAGAACCGGCGGACGCGCATGTGCTGCAGAAAACGCTGCGTCCGCGAACAAATCAAACGAACCATCAAACGGTCAACTAATAAGTAGCATATTGTTCATTAATTTATCTTTTTCGTAATTTAGAATCTACATACGTTTCCATGTTCTATCAATAAAGTCATTTTATATTATATCTGCATGGTGTGTGTGAGTCAAATTAATCTTTCCTGCTTATGCAACTGTTGCAAAAATGAAATGCGTTTAACTGGATTAAGATATAAAGTTTAATCGAGGGCTTAAAAAAAAAGAAAAATGTGCAAAAGATTTTCCTTCAGATGTAAGAAAGTAAAAGGCACAACTGCAATCCTTGTTATATATCGTTTTTATTGTCCGTCGATCTCATGTTACAGATGTACTTAAAAATTTATTATAAATAATTTACAAATAATTTACAATGTTTAAGCCATCTTTTTGAAAACGGTGGCATCAAAATGATTATATAGATATGCACATTGAAAAATATATTTGTAAGAAACAATATATTGGACATGGTTCTTTTACTTATCGAAAATTGTCATGTAAAGTGAATTATTACAGGAATAAGTGCGCGTGCGCGCGCGGAAAGATCGTTTAAATAAAAATTTTAATTTATTTAACGTAATATAGCATCTCGTAAATATCCATAGAAATGGCATATAAGAAAATAAAATAAATTAATATAAAATCTGTTTTTGTATATGTACAGGACATTTTTTGCTAACGTGATCGAATATCAGATTCGAAACATTCTATATTCTAAGTTCTTTTAGATAATGCCATTCATATATGACATCAATGTATATAAGAGACATCAATGTAACAACAACTAATACAGCTGAGACAGTAGAAAATCACTAGTATAAAGCATCGTCTATTACAAGCCTGAATGCTGAAATGTTACAAAATAGTTAAGCCGCAGAAAACAATGACAGATATTTAGGCTTAATTGTATCCGCTTGTATAAATAGATATTGCTGCAACAGACTGAAGTACGTCTCCCGCTCGTTCTACATAAATATATTTTAATAGTAATTTTTTTTTTTTTTTAATGGACTGAGTTATAGCTCCAGCAACTCTTTTATTCTTTTGGCGCAGACATCTGCGCCTTCCATCGCCTCTTTCGAAGTCTATAAACAACAGAACGATACAATGAAACATTGTGATAGTATAATTGATTGATACTGGAAATGAAAATTTCACCTGCAAAAGATTGAGAAATCCGTGTGGCAAACCCGGCAAAATATCCAGTGTAACTGTATTGCCAAGTGAGCGAAGCTTCCTCGCAAACATGATGCAGTCATCGAGACAGGGATCAAGATGTACTGTCTAGAAACAATAACATTATCATGTACAAAACATGCTAAAAGCTCAATCCTATATGTATATATAATACATTAGATTTTATTAAATTAACAAAAAATCCAAACAAATACCAGTATCTTTATGGGCGGTATATTAGCCAGCATATTATCCGGCGCGAGATAAGGGCTCAGGAAGGGATCCTTCGGTATCGCAAAAACGAAGTCCTCAGGCGAGAGGACGTTCTCCGTATTGAGCTCTCTGCTGTCCTTACTACTTCTTCTACCGAAGGACCACCCGAACAGAGACCACGATTTGTTACTTTGGCCTGAACTGTTACCATTTCTACTGAAACTGCCGTTCCTCGCGACAGGCGACGACATTGAGGCATGGCCGGAGTTGTTTTTGTACATATTTAAAAATCTGCTGATATATTCCTGAGATTTCGCCTGTACTTTCGGACACTCGGTACCTGTTGCATTAAAAGGTTCTTCAAAAAAAAAAACATTCGAGCTGCACATATATATTAATATTGTTATAGGCATATAACGGCTGATTTATATGTACCATCGACTTCCGTTAAGCTGACGGAATTTAACGTCGAATCGGATGGAAGGGACACTAATTTCTGATCATTTGCATCGTCTCCGTTTGGACTCAGGGCTAATGCTAGGTCACTTTCGCTCACTTCCGCAAAAGACTCTGTATCCGACTTGACGTCCTCTTCACTCTCGTGTTCCCTGTCGTGCGTAAATTGATTATATGCAAAATATAAATCATTTTCATCATATTAGCTATGCAATATATACATAGATAGAAGTATATATTTAAACGATTGAGTTTTGCTGTACATGTTAAATGACTAAAAATAATTCGATTAAAATAAGGTATGATTTTTATTGAAATCTTACTTTGCGGGCTTCTTATCACCTACTGCGTAAGCCTTCAAACATCGTAGCATAAAGCCAAACGGTACTAACGGATCCGTGAGACAGAGCATACGAGAGGGCGACGGTACAAATTCAATGCGTACTGGTGTGTACGCCATAAAAATACCGTCTGGTTTTCTTATATTTAAATGCATACATTTCAAGGTAATTCCCAAGTTTAAGTTTCCTCCTGCAGAATCGCCTGCAAAGATATTAATTATATTATAAGACTTTCGAGTTTACTCGATCGACAGAGAGATTGATTGATTTATAATTTATTATGCGCTCTAAGATCAGATCTTCTAAAGTGCACATCAATTACAAATAACAATCAATCAATTACAATTAACATTATTTACAATATAGCGAGAGAGAGAAAGAGAGAGAGAGAGAGAGACTGACTTAAAGAGAGATTTATTTTCATCTTACCGACAAGTATCACTTTTTTCGCTGTACTTCCGAGTAAGGTATTTGCATGCTTCAACGCCCAGGCGTAAGCATACAGCACCTCTTCGAGCGCACGAGGATAGGGTGCCTCTGGGGCTAGACTGTAATCTATACTCAAGATTGGTACACCGAGCTTCACGGTCCAATTACGTAGATATATTTCGTGCGATCGTGATGTCTGCGACACGAATCCACCACCGTGAGTATGAATAATCAGCTCGTCGGAGAGACCGCACAATTGTCCGTTTACACCTCCAGATCCAACCTTGACAGAGTGTTCTTAATGAAAAACATTATTCATTATACACTAGCGTCAGTTTTTAATTCTCTACAAGTTCTATAACTTATACCTCAGACATAGCAGGATATAGTCAGTTAAATGAATCGCGTGTACAGTACTTTCGATACTCTGTAAGCATATTAATATTTTATATACCATTCCCAGACGCCGTTTGGAGCTTAGCAGCCTAACGTGAATTGGCTTCTTCCCGATGTGACTATTTGGTATTGGAATTGAGATGGTACCACCGTCTAAAGTGGGTAAGACTAATTCCTCGGGCGGAATAGATATTACCTGATTGATTGGTAAACTCGAGGTGTTTAGCATGTTCACTATTGCTGAAATGAGAAATTTCATTCACAAATTAATTCATATACAGGTGAACTAATTTAAATTTAATTTGTCGATAAATAGCATCTTTTTTGATGCACACAAAAGATTCTCGGTTTCTCAGATGCAAGATATTCGATAGTCACGTATATAAAAAATTATATTCACTTAATAGGTATTTAATCATACAGCTCCTTTTGTTCTTACCGGATTCACTCAGAAACCAAAACGCCTGGCAGAAAGAAATGTCAGCGTGCTGAGATACATTAACAATACGACGCGCCCTTGCTTCGGGATCGAATAAATACTTAACGGAATTAGTGCACAGACCTAATAGTGTACCATTGTAGTACACTTCGCTGAAGGTTGCCATTGCGAATGACAGCGTTTTTAATACAGATCTTAAACTATCACAGAACTGAAAGAAAAACATTTCAGATAAATGGATAGGTACTTTGGATGTGAATTTGGTTTATAGACACAATTATCACATATTCTCCGCAAGTACCTGAAATCCTAAACACCTGCCGTAAAAGCAATACTGATTAATGTTCTGCGCACTATTGAGAAGTTCTTGACTATTGTACTCTAGCGGGAACAGTGAAAGCTTTCCATCGCTCAGTATATCCGTGCTAGACGAGTATATTGTTTTCAATTGCTGTAAAAATGTATAAAGCGATGCCAATAGCTGGGAGCGCGCTTCCATTTCTCTGAAAAAAAAGCAACCCAGAATTAAACGTTACAGTTACCATTGTTAACACGCAGAAGCAAAAAAAAGAGGGCAAGATCTCGTATGATGTAGTACAATTACTTCATGTAGTAGCTCTTGCGGAAAAACACATGGTCTTTCTGATGGTACATTTGCCGGCAGACCATATTGGAGTACATGATGCACTTGTCTATCAACGACAGGAAGCTCCTGTAACCGTTCCCCGGGGTCTCCTCGTCGAAGTCGAAGTACGGCGCGAACCTGGCGATCTCCCGGTACAGCGGCTGCAGCTGCGTCAGGTAGTCCAACATCGCCAGGAGGGCGGCCCTGATCCGCACGCCGTTCTTGTCCTGATGGGACTCGAAGTACTCCACATTGACACGACACATCTCGCGCAGCGCGTCCCACTGCAGGGGCTCGAAATCCTCGAACGGCCTCTCGAAGTCATCGTTTGTTGACATTTTGTTGGCGATTGTCGGAACGATGTTTAAAGTCTCTCTCTCTCTCCTTTGATTGTCGTTCTCCACCTCCGAGGGAGGCCTCTCGCCGATCGACTGCCAACAATTCTCAACAGTTAGAACGAACCTTGACCCTGCCACGCATCCTAAATGACTATCGACTGCCCGCGGTAGTGCCCGACGTGAACTCCCGCCGTGTCATAACGGAGCAACGGACTAGGATGCCACACGCATCGCGACTACGACGTTGACGAAAGACTTGACGCGTGCATCGCGCGGACGATAAGGGCGCGCGACTTCTCCCTCCACGCAAAGAGACGAGGTTAATCTGTCCGCGCCGACTGGCCGTGTCGCGCCTCAAAATGCCGCTACCCGCCCCCGCAGAAGCTCGAGCTCACGTTACTCACGAGGGTCGACGATGATCGCGATGCGATTCCGTTCGCATTTCATTCGTTGTTGCTGCCCGCGACGCTGCGATCGATCCCGCTCGCGCGGCGCGCGAAAGATCACGCGCTTGACAGCGCGTCGACGCTCTGACACTTGACACTGTCGCCGATCGTGCGACGTGCGGACTCGCGAAACGGGACCGCGCTCCAGTTTCTTTCCTGGAGCGCGTCACGTGCTATATATATCCCGGCAGTTCAGACAGAGCGGGATGCGCAGTGAAGCTTCTCGGTCGAGCGAGGAAAATCGAGGACTGACATTAAATAAGAGGCGTGCGGCTCGGGCGCGCATTTCCTTTGTTTATGCATTAAAAAAAAAGCGTTGGAGTCGGGGATTATACAACGATCCTTTGAGATCCGCGCCTACGTATACATATATTTTCCGCATGATGTGCAAGAACACGGCTTTCCGGCCGGTTTCCTCGCTTCGTGTTTAATTGAACGATTTGATGAAGATAAAATACATATTAAATGATTCATGATTATATGAATCATTTAATATATGTTAATAATTAATATATATAGAAATAGTGAATATAGGAAGGAATGGCAAACAGGAAATGGTACATATAATTATGTAATGTTTATATAACTAGTCATAATTATGAGTAAATTTGATCTAATTGCTCGAGCGAGCGAGATATGTGTATGTGTAGGAGGGGGGGAGGTGGTATTTTACACAAATAGAACTCGATTTTAAATTCACGTTGGAACTCAGAATTCTATCTGCAATTTTACATAATGATACGTGACATTTAAAGAATCGAAATACATAAATAAAATATATAACATATATATATATACATGATACATTTACTTATATATTATATATTTCATGAATATGTTATAATATATTTATTATATATAACATATAATAAATCTACAATAAAACGTGAGTTTATTTAAGGATCTATAAAATTGTAGACAGAAATCAAATAAGAAATCAAATAATGTCCTTCAAAAAAGATTCTACGATCAATTACTGACTCTTTAATTATGGAAAATGTATTAATTGTCTGAATATAAAAATAAATTTAATTATTAATATCTTTGAATTTTTATCAAACTAATACAAACTGATTAAAATAACTTTTTTTTTTATAACGTTTTTTAATATATTTTCAAGTTAAATATAATTGGAGATAAGATTAAACAAAAATTCGTCTCGATCAGTAGGAGCAGTAGATAATTGTGCGCTTGAACAAACAACAGTGATGACACATCGAATCGACTTAATGTGAAAGAGTTCATTAATAAGCGAGATAAGAGAAACTCGGCGACAGTCTGGATTTAAAAAAGTAAATATAATGTATAGCAATCGCTGCTGCTTTTCAATTCTAGCTTTATTACAGAGATTCCTGAAGTGTAGGTATAGAGACCAGCTACTATATAATGGATCGCAAACCGTTTTTTTTTATGAATCGTGAAAATTTTCAGGCCTGACAAATGATTAATAAATGTACATTTCATAAAAAATTATAAAGAAAGAATAGTAAAGAGAGGAAAATTAAGAAAATAAAGTAAAATAAATAAATAATCAATCCTTCTCTCCTCGTTTTTTAAAGCTAGGTCGGTCGCGGATGTTTGCTGCTCTAAAGTGGATCGCGATTCACGAAAGTCTGAGAAACCCTGTTAGAGTCGTTTTATCCTTATCTCATCTGTGCATAAAAAAGAAAACTTACACAATTAATTACGTACGTGTGTGAGATTTGCGTAGATTAAAGCCAAATCCAAACGTTCGTTGACGCTGCTGATGTCATCTTAGGAAAGAGACGTACGTTATCTCACCGCGATCGTCGCCAGGATTGTCTATCAAGATTATCGCGAGAGATCAAGAAAAATACGAACAAGCGCAAAGAGATGAATCGCAACTAAAAGAAGGAAGAGCGCTTTTCCATCGCGGCACGATCGCGAGTCTGTCGATCGCGATGCGCGCGATCGTAGTTTCGATGCAAGACTACTTCCATGCTGTGACACACGAACGCGCGAAACATATTATCCAACAGTATTGCGCTTTGCGGAAAAAAACCTTTTTACGTTAATCACTCGAGGAAGTGTAGATAGCGAACCACAGACAACGAACAACAAAAACTGAAAAAAAATAATATGAATATGCGCAGCGGTCTCGTTTTGAGCGAGACGGTAAGGAAACGAAAAAATTACTCACGAAATCAATGACGCGCATATTGTCGCACACGTGTCTTCATATCTCGTACCATGTTATTATTTAAATGCGCAGCAAAAATAGAAAAACACAATTATATATGTTCTTCTTTAACTCGTATAGCTCGTATCTAATTTTATACGCGGTATTTCGATTTGGAAAAAAATTAATGTGCGACTTCCTGCTCCGTGACTTTGGACTTCAGAAAATTGCACAATTATTCACGATAATACGAGTACACTCGGATTAATTTAAATCAAAATCTGCTGAGAATAGATTTTAAAATCCGTCCGATTTCCACTGGAAATTCTATCGGCTGAAATTTTAGAAGTACAATAGAATCTGTTAGCGAAATATGATTGACAGATCTGCAATTTCGTATATATAACTATTTTAAGCTGAATAATTCCATTTAAATGTGTGTAATTACGAAATATGTAACAGGTTCCTGCATGTATTATGTCAATGATCTCATATTACATCGGCTAAAATTCTGCTGGCAGAGCACGAGTTTGTGGACACAGTTGATGTTACTCTGTCACACAATCCTGTTCGAATTAATAAACAATATTGTTAACATTTTGCTTACAGGATGGACTATACATTCATCTGCAAAAAAATGAATGTAGCATTCTAAATTGTTATATAAACAAGCTGTGACATTACAGGCTGTAATGAGCCATAACATTACAAGTTGTGTTATTATAGCTCATTATTTTCTTTTGCGAATGAGTAATACGTATAAATAGCAGTTGTAACTGATAAGGGAGATAACATAATTATATTATAGTATTAAATAACATAATCATGTCATACAGAAATTATATATAATTATATAATAATATACGTACGCGCGCGCGAGCAATTTTTAGGCTACATTCCAAAACGTTGCTTTCGAGGAAATTTTAGAATGTAGTCTTAATATATAATGTCATGATCGTTATACGTAAAGCTTTCCGGTAAAAAAAAAAAAAAAAATACAACTACAATAAAATTCAGTAATAACTAGCTCTACATAGACAAACAATATTTAATATAGATACCGGAGATGTTGTGTAAGGAGCTCATTAAAAGATGTTCAATTTACGACTCGCTTTTATATACGTTTATCGCGTTACTCACCGCGACTTGATGAGACTGCAATAAAACACGCAATCGGGCGAGATTCTTTATAATTTATTTATTGATAAGTAAAATTACATATATCCACAAACACAATACGTTCTTTTCACGGGGTGTAATAATGCGTTAAAACTTGTGAGCGGCGAGGAGAAATACCTGCGAAGGAGAAAGAGGGACGAGGAGAGTTTGCTTTTTTTTTTTTAAAGTCTTTCGACACTGCCCCCCTTGTGTCTCTCGTGAACAACAGCAAACCAACGGCACTTGTCAATATAATAATAAAAAGAGAGAGACGAAAGAAAAATCTCGAAGGGATTCGCCATACAGAAACGAATTAAGCCCGGAATTGCGAGACGCACTTCGACGCGGTATAAAATAGTATCTAAAATAAAAAACGAATTACAGAAACTCGTTTCATTCCTGGATCATTCGATTTCTCGAAAGGTCTGTCCGCTGCACGCGCGCGTGCAGACATTATGCATGTCTAAAACACTTGACGTTACATATCTGAAGAACATTTACATATTTATTACACGTGCATATGTACGATTCCAATTATTCCATGCATTTAAAAGAAGTGCAAAATTGTTTTTTTTTTTTTTTTGTAAATTCTCGATGTAATATGATTGAAATTCTAACAAATTGCAAATACTCTCACAGAACGATCATAGCTGCCTAGTTTTTAATTGATTTGGTCTCGCTACATGTGATCAAATGATTCTCGCCAACAGATTGCCATTGTTCACAGAAAGATAAGGCGAAATCTTTCGCGCGTAATGATACATTCGTCAGAGTTCGGAATTTTCGATACGCTACGATAAGAACGTAACGGGGGCACGATTAGTTGCCCTTGCGCCACGCACTGTCTTCGTCTATATCATCATACGGCTGTGTCATTAATGATAATATAAAATGAACGTAATTTTATTTCGCGATTAACTTATCTTTCGATAACGGAAGCTAAATATCGGATTCGCGATTGTGGATTTCCGATCCGTGGAAACGGAACCCGAAGTCTAATCGAGCCGTTGCGTCGCGCAAAGGTCAACGAACATGACGTTTTCACAGAATCGAAGATAATAGTGCGAGGACACGTAATCGTGCTGCTCGATAAACCGTCCGAAGACGAGAGAGGATGACGCGAGGAGACACCGAAAAAACTGTAAAAATAAAGTCCAGTTTTTAGTCTCATATTATTATACTCTTTCTCCATCTCTGGACTCGCTAATCTCTGGACTGCGACTTGAAGGACGTATATCTCTTTTTTTTTTCTTCTTCTTCTTCTCCTTCACGTCTCACATGGCTTTTAAGCTAAGTTTCAGTTATCTCGATATAATATATATATATAATATATATATATATATATACTTATTACCTCTTTACAAAAATCAATTCTTAAACTTATACGTACGGAGGTGGCTCGATGCAAATTCACAGTATCTTGAAGCGCACACACCGGCCTTCTCTCTTTTCTCTCCCTCTCTCTTTCTCTCTCTCCTATCTTTTTTTTTCCCGCTACAATCGAATCACCGAAACATGATATGCTCCGACTATTGGCTAATACTGATACCTCCCCGACGTCTCCTACAAAAGTCATCGGGAGAGCATTGGACCGTTGTTGCCTGCGTATGGCGTAATCGCGCGTTTTTTTTCGCTCTTCGGGTAAAAATCGGCGAGTCATCAACTTGCGTGCTTGCACACGCGAAATTTCAATACCGCTGCTTGCTTTGCACTTAATACACGATTTAAATTTAACGAACGATATATGTATACATGTGTATATACGCACGCCGATCACAAATCATCCTCAATACAGGCCAATCGATAATGATCGCAAACTATCTTTTTGCGAGAGCAGCTCTGGCCCTTGTGAGCCTTAGAAAAATAATAAGTCCCTTTACAATCGCTTTGAGGTCTTCAGCATCTGTGAATCCGTATCGAGGTCAGATCTTTTCCTTTATATGCGATGTTGTCTCCATGTTGTTTAACGACTATATATGCTATAGGTACATAATGTTTAATTTAATATGTATACATGTATATGCATGTGTATATCCATATATATATGTATATATATATATATATATTTGTATATATATATCTCTATATATTATCCCCATACATTCTAAACACATACACACACACATACATATACATATATAATAGACATTTTATATCATTATTGTTAACGCATTGATGCTATTTGCTGTTATTCATATAATCATAGTACATTTACTGGTATAATTACTATCGTCTTACAATATATCTAAAATAATATTTTTAACATTCAGCGATGTGTTGTTTCATGTGTGTGTCTGTGTCTTGCGTCCAGTTTGTTTTGCCTGTTGTCGCCAGTTATTAGACACCCTTTTCCACCGGAGTTGCGTGAAGACAAACGATCGGTTTGTGTGTGTGAGAGAGAAAGATTCGCGCTAGATAGATAGGAAAGGCAGCTGCTTCACGTGCGCTTAGGAATACAATATCTAAAAAGGATCTTCTCTTTCTTTTTTTCTTTTTCTTTATTTCAATCGCTCTTCGCTGGGCGATTATATCGTGTCGCGCGATATACGATCCTAGCAAAGTGAGCGCAATCGAAGGGAACCACCTTAGCACGTAACTGGGAATGTATGTACTCATGCATGGACCGTGTGGAGCGTTATTATTTCACACAAGAGACAGAACAGCGACTCCTTAGCGTTTAAATTGTAAATCCGTACCGTTAATAATAGTAACCATCGCGCGCCGCCGAGAGCCTAAAAAAATCCCGTCTCTTTCAAACACATTATATTATACCGGCTGTACTGATACGCGCGTCGGTGATCGACCGACCTGAGCGTGTATTAACGGCGCATTAACGGTGCACCAACGATAGCGATGATTGTGCTCTTATCACACGCCGCCGCCATAGATAGATGTCGTAAAGACGACCCTAAAAAAACGTTCTAATCTCTTAGACACCTGAAAAACAGGTTTTTCCAGCAAAGACGCCGGCGAAAGATATCCTAATCTTCCAGACGTAAAAACGTCGCGCGCTTTTTAACGTGTTTTTTTTTCTTATAGAGAGAGAGAGGGGGTATCTTTAGGGTCTTTGTGGTGCTTGTGAATGCTACCATCGACCACCGATGGCCGTAGGGACGGTAAATGGTTCTATGGACCGCGGCAGCGTATTTCTCGCAGCCGGCGACATGCGCCGCATCGCATCGCGAGCGTCACCGAGGCTTTTTTTCTCATACAAATAAGTCTCACGAAAGCGCATAACGTGTATTCCAAGATAAATGAGAAGAGAACTGTGCTTCCCCACGCGACCCTGGCGCTAAAGTGCTGGCTACTACCTTTTTTTTTTTATCGTTTGACCATATACAAATATATAAGCATTAAACGTGTAATATATTATATCATCATCGTCGTCGTATATAATTAGTAATATCCTAAGATAGTTATTGTATGAACGATCTTTTTCCCCCTTTTTTTTCCCCCGAGAACGCAAAACGCGGAAACGAAAACAAAACGCTTATCTCAACAGTCGCTGCTTCTTCTTTCTTTTTCCTTCTTTCTCGACATAACAGTCGAAGGTACTAATGCCACTCGAAAATTATCTCCGGTTGAACTGTTCCTCTTGCTCGACAGCGTCGACCTGACCTGTTCGACACGTCGCGGACGTCGTTTCTCGGCGAGATCGTACGAAGCTGCCGAACATTTTCCATGCTAGCGTTCTCAGCACCTCGACAAAAAAAAAAGGACTTTCGCGTGGAATGATAGAGCATCTCACTTCCTCGTCATCGCCGTTAACTCGAGATACGTCAATGATTCTTAAGTTTTTTTTTTTTCTTACGTCTTAAGGTTTCTTTATCATCTAAGAGTTAGACGTTAAGTACTGAAAAAGGTCACCGAGAGAAACCAGGCAGTGGGAATCGAACGGAGACGGAGGGAATAAAACAGCTGCATCACGAAGATATAGGAGGAGTGAAAACGTGCAACGATGAGATGGCGCGTGTACGTGTGTGTATGTATGTGTGTTCTGATATTTTAAGAGTGCCGCATAGCTCGTTCGCGCGCTCGGTTATTTTAGCATAACGTTAACGATTTACGCCATTAATCGGAGTATTTACTTCTATATGCTGCCCCCCCCCCTCCCCTCCCTCCCCCAGTGACAAGCTACTACGACCGCTATCGTATTTTTTTTTTCTTCGTGTTTAGTACTTAAGCTGCATTATGTCTTATTGCCATTGATTATCTCCGAAAATATCAGAACCTAAAAATACAGCAAAGAGCGCAACGATAACGCATTCACTGAACGCTTACGTCGTCCGTGTAAATGCGTTCTAGCATCGTCCGAACGTTTCGTCCCCGAGGAGCGAGCGCGACCGGCCACCGAACGCCGATCGGTCGCCAATCATCGTTCCGCGGAGCTTCCGGTTCGAGTGCATAACGTGTAGAGGCGGAGGAACATCGAGGTACGTCTAAAAACGGCGTTTTCTACTTTTACAACACGAGCGCTCCTTCCTGCGTTTTTATTATCGACATATGTATGACAAACGTAATAAAAACGACGTGTGTATGAGATACTTCCGAAGATAGCGTGTAATACTCGTGTTCGTATGGCACATAGGTAATATATGCTGAAAATTCTACGTCATCTTGTCTCCCGTAGAATCCGTTTCGTTTCCCATCCAGCGTGTCCCAGCTACAAACTGTATTTTACATATATATTGTCAATTCTTCGCGAAATCGATTTACACACCGCGACACGTGGCCGTGGTGCGCCCGACAAGCGGACGCGACGCGTAACGGCGGTAGTCTCTCGTCGCAAGTTGCGATCTTGCCGATTAGGAAACGCGTCTATCGGAATTTGCGCATTTCCGGGATGTGCATGGTTCCGGATCTTCGGAAGAATCTCGGGGGTTAGAGATATACATACTATTTATATATATATCTTACTCTAACAAAATACTATGAGATTCTTGAAGAAAAGACGCGAGAACGAATACGCGGTTGCGACCAGCTTCAGAAATCAAAATATCTGTGATAAACCTCTCGAGGCGGCGGCCGAATTATTCCTTCACCTCAAAGTATTTGTATGTAGGATTCTCGTAACCGTTGATCTGCATATTCGCGACGTGTCGTTCCTCGGGCGTGGCCGCTTGATCGACCTCGATGAAGCCCTGCGGGAGGAAACGGGAGATGGTTATCACGTTGCTAATTCTCTCAATTATAGCGTGTCAATTAATGCATTATTAGTAGTAGTCACATTAATCTTTTTCAGTTACATGCATTTTCGTTCGAATTACACAAAATCGCAATGACCACTTGATTAATGACAGCGCAGCGCACTGGAGATATTGCTGCGATGACACTGACGTGTCCTTCAACGTAATGGTAATACCTGGCTGTGAGGGCTTCTCGCGCTGCGCCTCTTGAATACGGCGACGCCAACAACCGCAGCCGCCATGAGTGCTATGCCAGCGAACGCGAGTGTGAAATAAACGGATCGACTTTCTCTGTGATACACCTCTCGCCTTACGGAATAACCCTGCAAGATTAACGGAATTTTCCGAATTATAACGAGGAAAAATATATATAGACAATCATCTTTTTCACTTTCGTCAAGCAATGATAGGCGTGTGTGATAAAAGTGATAAACTTTATTTAATAAACACGAAGAAAACGAAGCGAGATTTCGTACGATAACTTATAAATGAGCTTTATAGTTGGGGCAAGTTTTCTTACTGGCTCGGAGTGAGAAACATCGTGAGTCATGCTGTGGGCTGCTCTAACTACTCCCTCATTATGCATGGCGGCGACCGCGGCGGGTTGCTCCGATTGTTGAGGGATATCCTTGGTATCGATCGATGGTCCCGAGTCGTTCTCCTCGTGTTGCTCTTGCTCTGTGCGTAGCTCGCCGCGCTCCGCCTTACGCTGCTCCTTGCGCGCTCGCTCGAGCTGCTTCTGATGCTCCTTTTCTGTAAAGTACAAAGTAAGGTAAGACACAAGACTCGCTCGTATAAATTCATTTTTCTCAACGAGTTTGTTGATCATAAATACCTTGCTGTTTGCTAGCGACATCGGCCTGATACTTGTCTAGAATAGCTGCCTCCGCTTCGCGCGTCATCGCCAACAGCAATCCCGGAGTTTCATCTTTACTCCTGAGGGCCAAAACGTAATCGTCCATGAGACGGCCGATCTTCGCGCTTAGGTCTGGATATCTGAACACAAGAAAAGAAAAAATGAGTCTCTAATCGTTTCCGCGGACGTGCAGTTATCGCTTCGCGCGCAACGTGTATCGCGTGACCCGCAACGTGTTTGGAATGTTAAAAGCAAAAATTAATAAACGGTTCGACGTATACATTACCGTTCCAACATCAAGAGGCTCTGATTGGTAATCCTATCAATTTCCGCCAGATGCTCCAGAGTGGCCGGCTTCTCTCGCTGCGCCTGCTCCAAGCTGCTGTCGAGGAGATGCTTGTAATGGGCTATTGTGTGGTGCCTGTCTTTGTGAAGAGCTCTGAGCAGCTTTTGTAGACATTTTTGAATACGGTGCATCTAGAGAACATATATAGATCGATCGTTAGGCAGGAAGATAAGAAGGTATTCTTTGTGCAAAGGTATGTTACACAAAACTAACATTTGGCGGCGTCTCGTTAAGGGCCGCGGTGTAGCACGACATGGCTTCCTCGTTCCTCTGCTTAACCGCCTCCTGCGGAGGAAAGGATATGATTATTATTGGATATAATTCATTCGATGAATATTGGAGATTATTATTGATTACTCGATAAAAAAAATAAGACTATTGGCAATAATAATTACATAGATAAATTCTTGTTTTAAAATGTTTACATGAATTATTTATTCTCTTGTGAAAGAAAAAATATCAAATCGCCACGTGTTTATTGCCATTTGATAACAACAATTGTAGACAATATAGCCGATTACTCAAATAGATTTATCTTTGTTGAACATCTTTTTAAATGCTTCACAAGTTTCATTTAGAAACTAATGTAAAATTCCAATTTATAACAAAAAAAGTCTTATCAAAATCGATTTACGTCCGCTTTTTGTTGGAGTTCATAACGTTTCAAAGTTGGGTGACTTTTAAAAAGAGGACGATTCGTATCATATCACGCGTTTCCACGTACCTGCACTCTTTGCTGGTGCATCGCGCTTAACTGATGCTTCTCCGCAGCGCCGCTCTCCTCGAGCGCGGCGACCGTCTCCTGGAATCGCGCCGTCATCCAGCGTTTGAAAGCGTCCGCGGCGACGGGATCGTGGGCTCTGATGTCCTGGTATCTCTCCTCGAGATCACTCCAATCCTTCATCACCTGAAAGCGTTGTAGCACAAAGATTTCGACACCAATGTCCCGCGCGATAATACTTGTCTTCCAAAAGCTGCGTTTTTCTCGCACCTTTTTTTCTCAAATTATGCAAACTTTAGAAACTTTCAACTCAATGTCGCAATCATACCTTTACTTTCTCCTAAATAAGTGAAGATATGATTACCTTGAATAGAAGTTACACGATGAAGTTGTACGGTGCGATACGAGGTAACGTTACCTCGTTTTACTCTTCTCACTACGATTAATCGAACTTACTTTCGTAACTTTCTCCTTGTGCACTTCCTCAAGTCGCATTTGAGCCTGCTTGTAACTCTGGTGCTCGGACCGCGGATCGAAGTGCGTCAGATAAGGATCGGGAGTGCCCTGCGGTTGGGAGGACTGCTGCGTACTCGTGCTAACCGGCAGCGGCATCGCCGTCGCATCCTGTTTGGTTTTCTCCGTCGTGGAAACGGTCGTCGACGGTCGACTAATTTTAATTAATAAATTAAATAATTAAAATTAATAAATTGAGACGAGTTTATAATAAATTTTTAACTCCAATATCAATAATGCTGGGCTTTGCATTAATTAATTTTAATTAATTCAGATTTAATTATTTTTATAAATTATTTTTAATTCGACAGAAGAAACAAGGATTCAACGAAACTCTATTGATGTTTCTTAAAATGGCCGTATGGACTAATCTCAAAAATATATAGTTGTATTATTTATAACTACCTGGTAGTTGTGTCGTAATCATCGAGGTCGTCATACTCCTCCTCGCTCTCGTCCTCGTCGGGTTGATTGCTAAGCACGTCTTCGAGATCTCCGTCAGAGTTGTCTTCTTCCTCAGCGTCGCCGTCCAGGTCATCCTCGTCATCGATATCATCCTCGTCCTCATCGAGATCGTCGTCCATGCTCTTCGGTATGGGCAGATCGATCGGCTTCTTCACCTTCACGTTCTCTGCAAAGGGATCAAGTGTTTCGCATGTTATTCCTCGCTGTGTATCTGCGCTCAAGTATGATTTATCGTATTACATAAGTGCGTAAAGCGCGTAATGATGATGACGATTGATTCTGAAAATAGGCTCTCCAGCGTGCGCCGCGTGCAGCGCACGGGATATCTGCAGCGTAAAGAAACGGAAGAGCAAAGATCGTTTAAATTAATACCGCTGGATACTGCACTCATCCTTGATTATGCAAAAGTGCCCTTCCTTTTTCTCTCCCTCCCTCGCGCCGCTCTAACGCTAACGATTCCGGCGTGCATACACACGTCGCGTGTACGTACATGTACGTACGTGACGCGGTAGGTGCAATTATTGGAATTCCTGTCTGCGCGCACATTCCAGTATATCGACTGCCATTGTTTGAATAGTAAATGGACGGGATTGGGCTGGCCGCAGATAGCTCCGCGGAATTCTGGCCCATAATCTAAATCAATGCGCGCCAAGTGATACACTGCCAGTGTCACCGATCGCTTGATTATTTATCGATATACTCGGAAGGGGACGGTGATACAACGGCACTTATAAATTGACAATTTTGCACGGATGCAATTCACACGACGACGAAGACAGTCCCGAGTCCACCGACGTAAAGAGAGACATAAACAGCGAAACGGTGTCTACGGACGAATATTTATCCTGTAAAAGATAATTAGGAAGAATTAGGAAGACAGAGGAATTCGTTCAGAGCAAACGAGACATTAATTACAACATTGTAAAATTAAAGGGTTACACCATCCTGGAGGCCCTAAAATGATACCTAAGTTTGGGATTTTTTTCTGGGTAAACAGATAACTTTATTAAAAAATTACTTTAAGCACATTGTTGTACATATATAATAAAGTAAAAAAATATTTTTTATTTTTTAGTGTTCAAAATGGTGGCACACTAGCCTACTTGCCAAATGCCTTTTTTCTGAATTTTGAAATCGATGTACAAGATTGTAGGCACACAGTTTAACCTTGAATAAAATACAAAGAATTTTCATTGTCTACGTACTAAAAACTACAGATGTACGTAGGGGTTTTTTAAAATATTGATTTTTCTCAAAATAGTTATTTTACGAAAAATGTGTATTTTTCGCCAGTACAAGTTTTTCTTAAAATAGCTGCCATTTTGAGAAAAATCAATATTTTGAAAAATCCCTACTTCTTTAATCTTCAATATATAGATAATGAAAATTCTTTGTTTTGTTCAAGGTCAAACCGTGTATCTGGAATCCTGTACACCGATAAAAAAAAAGGATTTTGCAAGTGTAGGCCAGTGCGCCGCCATTTTGGACATAAGAAAAGTAAAAAAATATTTTTTTAGTTTCTTATATATGTACAATAATGTCCTCTAAACAGATTTTAAATAAAGTTATCCATTTACTCACAAAAAAAAATCCCAAACTTTAGGTATCGTTCTAAAACTTCAAAGGTGGTGTAACCCCTTAAATCAGCATGAAAAATCAGAGGAGAATTGCCCCATCGTGAATTTCGTATGTGTTTCAACTACGCAGAATGTATTTTGTTTTCTCATCTTTCCAACATAGACATTCTAATTTCGCCGAGTTACTCGGGAGAAGTGGAGCATCTTGGCTAACTGGGTTCTCGAGAGATGTGTCGCATTCGTTGAGAATAGGTGCTCTGATGAGACGACTTCTCGACTTTTGCAAAGGCAGACAAAAGCCCCACCTGACCATATCCTACTGTGTCGTCCTTTTATCTGGGTCACACGGCAGATACGCGATAACTGCACGCGTTGGCAGTTTCTCCGGGGATGCCTTATGTCACGATTGTTCGTCACGGAGAGTTATGGATTCCTCGCGAGTACGCGGTTTATCCGGGATCGATCGGGGAAGTGCTGAATGGAAAGGGATGCAGGATGACGGAAATTCAATGTTATCAGTGCAGCCAATAATGAAAGTTATGAGATACCCGGCATACTCCCTCTCGATGAACTTAAAGTTGCATGTTTCTCAAATATTCACACCCGAGGCTCTTTTCCAAGATGTAAACATTCATTTCCAAGGTTCACATCCACTCTAATAAACAAGCTCGTTGGTATCTAATTTTGGCAGACATTAAACATTAATTGTAAGTCGCGTGCGCGCGCGCGTTCGCTTTTACAAGACGCTTGATTGTACAAGCACGTTCAAAACGAAAAGATATCTTTCATCGAAAGCTCCGACGACATTTTTGCAAATGATAAGAGTCATTAAATTATTCAAGAAAGAGGATTTTGGGTGCGATTTAAATCTTCAATTTCTTGTCTTTAATAACTCGATTCTGTCGTAAGAGTAAGTTACTAAAATCCGGATTTTCGCAAGAACGGAAATTCCACATTTTATTCAAACACATCCATCGATTACCGAACTGGTCCGCGTGACGTTAGTGGTCATACCCTAAACGTGTACCCCGGTTTTATTTACCGTACGCCGCGCTGCGCGGCGTATGCATTTTTCATCCTCTGCAGGACGACACGTCATCCCCCGAAGTTACATTACCTATGCTGAAAATAATGGAGTATAGGATTCAAGCGGACGGTATACATAGCGGACAAAACGGACAGCCCAGTGTGAGCTAATCGAGAGCCCCATTATATACGTGATGTATAGGAAAGAAAAGTTGCGCAGCGACGCCGAAAGCTACGGCGTGTTACGTTGCGCAGTCGTCGGGAACGTCGGCGGCGAACATTATTGATTGCACGAGGGAGAGAGAAGACAAGAGAGCTTGCGATGAGAGGAAGAGAAAGAGGGAGATGTATGTATATAGAGAGACGGAGGGAGGGAGAAGGAGAGAGAGAGGAGGGGGGGGAGAGAGGAGGAAGGGAGGGAGAGAGAAAAGAGCTTGCGAAGGGTGGCACGAGCCACCCGGGGTGCTCGAAGGAAACGAGGAAGGAGACGAAGCGAAGTAGGTGGTACACCTCGCTTAATACACTCTTTGCACTCTCCTATAGCTATTCTTTCTCTCTCTCTCTCTTTGTTCTTTGCAACAGTCGATTGAAAACGAACAGCGTAAATGCCGGGTATTTCCACCGTGCAATAAATACGCCGCGAATTCGAGTCGTAAATATTCATGCCTCGCCGTCTTCTCCCTTCCGATATACTTTTTGATAGACATGCGTACCATTAATCGTTTCGCCCAACAAAATGAAAAACAGAAAGATGAAGAAATAATAAATAAATATAGTTGCAGTATGGTGTCAAAATCAAAATCGAATAATGTGAAAAGCGTTGAAAAGCTTATTGATGTAAACGCAAAGCAGAGGGTTTGATAGTATCGTCGAAGTAAATGACAAACGCAAGTGCGAAGACCAATGCGTTTATATGGATCGATGAATTTGAAATCCAATGAAATTTTTTAACGTTTCATCATTCCATTGTTCATTTGTACACATAAACTAGAATATAAACTAGAATTAATTGGAAGTATGTGATGATCTTACTTCAATCTACTTCAAAAAAATAAATGCCATATTTTTAAACTCTTCATTCAAATCGAGCAGAGATTTATAAAGATGCGACTCTTCAAAATTCACAAAAGTGTTCGTTCGCATTTAATATAGCAAACTATTACCTATATTAAATGCAATTTAATTTTGTTACATCAAAAGCTCAAACGTATCTAACGGAGACAGGCGGAATTCGCGCGTTAAATCTCGAAATAAGATCGTCACAAGTATTTCCACTTTACAGTAAAATGACCTCGCGCCAAGAAGACACCCGAGCTCGCGCGAGCTCGCGTCTGGAAAGGATGTCATGGTATGGAGATGCGGACGCAGCGAAACGTTCGCACCGATAGAATATGCATGAAGATGAACGTGCCGGTGCCGGTGCCGGTGCGGTTCTCGCGAATACGAAAATACGAGCGATGGCTCGCTCGTTTCCCCGTGTGCGTCGCGTCGCGTCGCGTCTCCACCCTACGTCTCCCCATCCACGAGATCCGTGTGTCTTCTCGCGCGCGCGCGTGAAATGAGAACACGAATGAATGGTGATAAGGCAGAGCGTACGTACGTTACGTACCTTTCAGGTGTTTCGGGCAGCATACAAACTCGACGCCGGAGAACAGAGATATGCCGCACGGCAGCAACATCGCGAAGCTACGCAGATTCATGTTTCGCTCCCGGCAGGTCTCCGCCGCCGTGGCATTCCATCTGGAAACGCGAAATCCACATTGATGCAGTCACGTGTATATAGGTACTCGGGCCAGGACGCGCGCTCCTGATCTACCGCGACGCGATATGAACGGGCCCTGATAACGATCCGCGCCGATCTTCACCGACGTAAAATAACAACGTTGGCTCATTTCACGGTGGAAAATAAACGCGCATGAGATAAACAGGTAGGTTGCGTCATCACTCATTAACGCGAAGTAATTAAGTGTAGCTCTTAGTTGTACGATAGAGTAACAAAGTAATAAGACGGAACGAGGAAATATTGAAATAAATTTATGACAACGCGTAAAGAAACATAAGCGAGAGAAGACCGATTTTATATGAAAGCTCGATAATAATATAATTAGTAGTAAATTCAACTGCATGATTGCTGTGTGTGCATGTCAAAGTGATCAAACAAGTGTGTCTGCTCGCGGAGAGACGAAAGGACTGCGCTTATAAGCTATTCTTTCGAATCGCTTGATCACTTTGACGGAACGCGACATTGTAGATCTAAGCTCGCTCGAGAATTAATTCCGTTTGGCGCAGACGATATTCGCGCGCGCATATACGCTCGTTACCTGTGAGACTCCCAGCATTTTGTTTGATTATGAAGATGATCAAAGAGACAGCCCTCCGGCACGAGAAGTGCGTCGCTCTGGAAGGGTCCCTCTGAAAGTAGAAAACGGTACATATTGCAGTGGCTCGAACTCAAGGAAAGGCTCGATTAAACCAGTAAAGGTCGCGCATCGCTAGTATTTATTCTTATTCGCTATTTCCGACTGACGATGCGCAATCTCTCTCTCTTTCTCTCTCTCTCTCTCTCTCTCGCTCTACGAAGAGAGAATTCTACGAATTATATTGCGACGAATTATATTGGTAGTCGGGGCACGAATCTGCCGATGACTATTTATATACCTGTGCGCATATATCGAGATATATGAAACGCCTGAAATCAATAGCGAACGTGTAAGGGATTCCCTCCAATCGTGGCACTTTATGTATATGCTCATCTAAAATAAATCTTGTATATTCGATATTTTAATTTTATATATGATTGCACTTTTCAGATTCTTCAAATATTAAGTCCTTTCGCTCCCCTTAAAAATTTCTAATTGCAATTTTAACGATTCTTCGACCCGGTCCTTAAAAATTTTCCACAGCTGCAATTTTAAAGATTCTTCGACTATGTCTATGAAGGGGATTTCTCCTAAACTAAAATGTCAAGGCAATAACAGTCTTCAAATAATAAACAATTTAAAGATGAAAAATTTTTTCCATCTTCTACGAACTATGCTTTTAGAATATAAGCAAATAACGAGACTGTATTGTTCATTTAAATTCAAGAGCACTTTCTCAGAATTTTAATTCCAGGTTTAATTATCAAGTCGCTCAATGTTGAATATTAAAAAGTTTCAGCATAGTAATGGCCTCTCTTAAAAGTTTTCCTAAAGATTTATCGGAGAATCTGCTCCTAAAATATTTATGTTCGAGACACTTTATGTGCACACGTATACGTATATACAAATTATGTAAGAATATACACGCGAATATACATACTGCATTTACGATATTTGCGGATGTTTTACATGAAAAGCATATCGAAATGCAAGAAGTAGCAGCGACAATTTTTCAGTGGTACTTATAGGCATTTGTTCTAATGTCTGTCTACCTTCATGATAGAAGCGCGCGCGAAAGGAAGAGGAGAGGGAGAAGAGACGGCGGAACGGACACGCGTCTAGCGGATGACGCATCGGTACGTTCACCAGCATGCTGATCAATAGAACTAGTCACGCAGACTCTTCGAGGGTGTTAACCACTCGCCTGATTTGCCCGTGAGTATCATTCGTGTATCATTCTTCTGCGAAGGCAGGAGTTACGTATAAAGAAAAAAGTAAACAAATGCGAGTACATTTTCGTAAAAAGCGTTTCAAGTGCCATTGAAATGAGACAATTATAATACGAAGATAAAAAAGAAAACCTAAAGAGTAAAAAACCTAACGCTTCACGGTCGAGTTTCTTTTTTGTGGGGCCGCTCGACAAGGAAGTGGTTAATGGAACTTTGTAGGACGTAGGAGACACGCAACTCAAGACACGGGACGTTACGAGAACGACCGTGACCATTTACACGTGACCAGCATACCGGAATAATGGCATTTATCTAACACGATTAGAAAATGAGACATGGATCTTGTCGCTCTAACGGACGCGCTGGAAACGGGTAATACGGAGTATAGGGTTCAGAGTTCTCGTTTCTCTCGTCCCGCTGAATGTGCACGAATAAATGATTGCCGCCACTGCCGGTATCGTCCACTTATGGGATCTCACTCAAGGGAATATATCACCGACGGCAGCTGTGTTTTGTGTCATTACTCCACTCACGTCTTGGTACAATTATTCATTTTAATAGTACTTAACAGTAGAAAAAGGAGCGAACGTTGAATCGTGTTGCTTGTAAAGTGCATCACGTGCATCGCATTAGAATTTAATGGTGATTTCTAGGACAAATTTTAGAATAGATTTTCGAAAGAAATTTGAGAAGAAATCATCGTTACGTTCTGCAGCCCCTCGATCTCCAATTAAATGTGTATTTGCGTTTACTGGCTCTAATTAAAATCACGTTAAAGCTCGTTTAAAATAAAATGAAGTATTACATTCTGTAATAGCGAGAGATACTATACCTGGGTAAATAAATTCTTCCTTCGTCTTAATGAATGCCTCATGTTTCTCCTACGTTTCTCTTCAAACTTCTCGCGTTATTCGATTTAGAATATTCCGCAATTAAGTATTCCTCGCAAATTGAAGAGTTTCGCGCAAGGACGAGGTAAGAGTTTATAATTTATAGGGTCCATTTTAATTAACGTCGTATATAAAATAGACTTAATAAATTACAAATCTACTTCTTCCACCTCCTTCTCCCCCCTCCCCTCCTGCCTTTCTTGCGCTGAATCGCTCAATCGCGTGGAAAAAGAGCGCGCGAGCTTGCAATAAAAGATATCAGTCGCGAAAGATGCTTGTCAGTTTGCTTCGAGAACCCGAGTGTATTGCTCATACACTCGGGGGAGGAGGGGAAAGAGAGAAAAAAAAGGAAAGTAAAGCGCGATCCTTGAATCCCGCTGCTGCGCGACGTCACGTACGCGATACTTCTTTCGTTCTTCAGCGCGATAAAAAGGCTGATCAGGAAGGTAGCCGAGCAGACAATCCGACAGCAGATATCGCGTTGTCCGTTACACAGCGTATTGACTCTACAAATTGAATTCTTCCGTCCGGAGCAGATCGAGCGTCCTGCTAAATTTATAACTAAATCCCCGCCCGCCGGAGAGATCGATCTCTCTCTTTCCGTTTCTCACGGCCGCGCCGCCGCTGCCGCATTATCGATCGATCGGCGGGATGCCCGCCAGTCCGCCGGCACTCGCGCGCGCGACGGCCCTCTCCTTGCAATTTTCAAGCCTGAGCCAAGAATCGAACGTTACCGCCGAGCCTAGCGAGAATTTTTACGACTGTCAGACCGATATTAACGTATGGTATCCCGCCATCAGAGAGAGAGAGAGAGCCCGGCTCTCCGATATGGATGCGCCGAATATTGAGATTGAGATCCGTACCGCATTGTCGTAAACAGAGATCCACGCCGATGGTATTGACATATATGCTGACAGTTACATTATTATATTGATTTCGATATCCCGTAACAGACAGCCCGCGGTTTTACGTGTCTCACTGATATCCGTGATAGATTACCGCTTTATATTTCTGACCCAAAAAGAGATTGATCGCGATATACGGCGGATACACGCGAAAATTGGCGTGTGACCTTTTTTCTCGCCTACACACAGGGAAAATTTAACTCGCTGAAATTCAATAGAGATTCAATCTTTAATTGTCCGCGAAGGGAACAGTTTTGTCATCGACGACAGCGACCCACCGACGGAGTTCGGCATGCGACGATGTCAGATTTCCGATACCCCGGCGCAAAAATAACAATTGAAAATTACTAAAAAAATTGCTACTCACCCAAACATCTGTAAGGTTTGACCCATCGGGAGAGCTTGCACTTGGTTCTTCCGGGCTTGCACCATCCGCTCACCCTGACGTAGTGCGACGACTCGACGATGTTGGTGATGTCTCTCTTCGGGTAAGCCTAGAAAAAAAAGAAAAAAAAATCAGGCACGGATTAAGGGGCCCGCCTTAAGTACCGCATTATAGCAGGCGGTGCGACCAGCCTGCAATCGCGCGCTCAGAAGTAATTATCGAGCATACACGCATACACTCGGCGAGCCTATTATTATCGCGAACGAGCGACTGCTTAATCTCCGTTTAAGAGGCCGCAAAAAACGCCACGTTCTTACCTGAAGCGAGCTGTTTCGCGACGTAGTATTCGCGTAATGTGCGAATTAAATCTAATAAGACTCGAGCTGTGCGACGTTAGTTTCAACAGCGAATCGATAAGGTGATTTAGCCGCATGCAAAACATATTCTTCGAAGATTTCGAAATAGAGAAAATCAACATTAAGAATTTAATTTTTATCAAACAATTGCTTATTAAATTTTGTCTTATTTGTGAGAATAGAAAGAATACAAGTAAAAAAAAGTCGTGTTGCTGTATATAATTTTGCTAAACTTAATTTAAATTTAATGTGTAAGAATTTCTCTTGACTTATTTTGTATAGTAATCAATTTAAAGGAGGATTCAAATAACTGGATCTTCGGAAACTCCTCTCTTTTAATCTCTCTCTCTCTTTCGACGAAGGATTAAACGAAGGTATTCGCGAGTTACCAGCGAGGGAGGATTAGATGGCACGCGAATACCATACTTAGTAAGCATTTACGTATTATAAAGCGAATAAATTTAAGCAAAACACGTTATAATTCGCGACGCAACGATTGTGGACTGCGTGCAATCTCGTGCGCAATAAAGTCATCGGAAGCGAAGATTAACGTTATTTTCACGGTGGAACGGCGGGAAGGGTAACGAACCGCGTAATTCTGTGTTTTGTCGCGACTGAAACGCGTCAACGAAGGGATGAAAATTCGATTTACGCGGCTCCGGAAGATTATAAACGACTTAATCCCTGCCTGCAGGGCAGCGGCAGCACCGCTGGGCGCGAAATAACACGCCCAGTCTTAATTAATAATTCGTTCGCGAGTGGCCCGATTTTCTCTCTAAATAGTCGTCGGGTCGAGAAAACGGGAGATTCGAGAGTTCGGTCTCGAGATCCCCCACTGACTTTTGTTTAAATAATTTAAATAACGACTCGAGAATAATTTATATTACGATGCTTCCCGAAACGAGAGCGGGACGGTGATTTTTATCGATCGCCGGCACCCGACGCACGAGGCGACAATAGCTTGCCGTCCTTTCGTATACTCGTGCATGAGCAAGCACAGGCACGTACGCATATGCAAACCTGCACACTTGTCACCGTCTCATACACACAGTGAATTGCGTGAACGTGCGGCATAAGCGGGACGGAGAACGTCATTATTCAGTAATCCATAAGCTAGTCCTGCCTCTCACCGTGCTCTACTAAAGATTCGGAATGTAAATCGCGCACGACATCGTCATTATCCATCATTAATCCTTCCTTACTATCGAACCTCAATAAGCTACAAACAAGCTACTTGATTTAACACTTGAAAAAACATGACAAGACCTGATATTTCTCATGCGTGTAATCACGATAAATGACCGCACCGATGAAAGATATAACATTTTAAAAATGAGATCCCTGTCAATTTCCGGAAACCGGTAAGATTTTTTTTTTTTTGTGAAACCGCAATCAAAGTCAACGTATAATTTCCTAAGTCGGAAGGGTTTCGATTCTAATCTTACGTAACCGAGCGGCCGCGACACAGCCGTTGGGATCGTTCTTAATGTTTCTTTTAGGAACTTCGGGCTGATCTCGCTGGCAAAATATTTACGCACGTTCCTCGTAGAAGGAACGGAGGAACGGATGCATTAAGAGGAGAGCTAAAAAGTTTGATGGAATAGAAAAATGTCAGAGATCTATTTTTAATGTCTATATATAACTCTCGCAATCGACTATACACATGCCTAACGCCGATCTCCGGTATTATATACGTGTGAAAGGGATTTAATGGTTGCGTGATCTTATAGACTGTGTTTTTTTTTCCTTACCTTCTTACAATACTCCAGAATCTCCAGCTTGTCCGTCATGCAGCTCTTCTTGTCGGTCGAGGATACCCATCGACCCTGCTCTCCCATGTGCTGAGCAAGGTATACCTCGCCAGGTTCGCACAAGGTAGCGACCTTCGTTGAGGAAAGATACGGTCATTAAAGGCACGCGTTTAAAGCCTCCAAGCGGAAACACATTTGGCTCAATCAACAACTTCATCAAAGTGTTTCGCTTTTCGGGCAGCCGATTGTCTTAACCCTAGGTATACACACTGTTTTTTGGACGACGTCGTATACACACTGGGATCTCGGAGACCCCATCCATATTTATTATTGTAACCCTAGTAAAAATGGACATGTTTCAATTAATTTTTTTTTTCAATCGACCAAGGAACAAGCCCATAATGTTTAAAAGTCGATAGAATTAAGGAGCTTCAAGATATACGGGTTCAAAGAAAAAGGAAAGTACAAAAACGCAAAAAAATCTCGATTTAGCACTTTTTTTCAAAAAATCGTATCTTTTTTGTTTGTGGACCGATTTGAAAAATCCTTGAAAATTCTGAAAGGGCATACTTGAAATAGTAACAAAAAAATTTGGCGATCCGATATTTTAATTTTTTAACAAAACTGCAAGCAATCCCGGGGACTCCATGCTTCAACTGTTCACTGCTCGGTTGTTGAGCGACAATTGCCGCGCGTCAACACGTCTTCCTACTGAGGAGATCTCAAACTTTTTTTACGTCAATATCTCAAACCCCTCCCCTTCCAATTTCAGAAATGCCAAATCGAGAAAGTTTCGCTGGGATCCCCGTGTGTATATCTGGAGTTAACTAATGGCAGGTCAATCATTGTTTTTTCGGCAAACGAACATTACGGCGGCCAATGTACTTTTTTTTATTTTTTTTTCCCTTATGTTTACGATTATCAAGAATATTGTCAGAGGCGGCGACATGCATGCATGCACACATCTACTTCACTTCAAAGGTACACCTTTTTACTGGCGCGCATTTTTCTAATAAGAGAAGATTTAAAATGTTGTTCACAGAGATTTACTTCTTATAATCTTCTGTTAATCTTTATCTTTATCTTTATCTTCTATTAATAATCTATATCTTTAATACGCGTCTCTCTAATAAATCTTATTAAAAACAATCTACATTCAATAATTTAATTAAATAGATGAGAAACCGTTTTGTTTGAGCAAAAATACATATAAGATGAGGATCGCGAGAGCGAGGAATTTTCGCAAAGTGTATATAATTTTGCGGTGTTTTCAAAATGGGAATAAAAGCTAGATCGAAGTCTCTCACGGTACTCACCTGAGGCTCTGATCTTCCGCCAGCTGGTGCCAATTCGAGCCTCTCCGACACCGCCTGCAACACAAAGTGAGAGAGAATATTTGAAAGCGGCTGCATGTAGAGGAGGAGCGGAAACGGGGTGGTTAAAACGTTTTCCGCCCCGATAAACGTGTACCTACTCGCGTGAATTTAAATCTTTGACGGGCAGAATGCGCCAAGTAGTTTATTCGCTTTACGAAACTGCCTGATTTAAAAGAAAAAAAAATGCTTGGCTTCGTTTACGAAAAAGGAAATGTATTTCGAATAAAAGCGGCTAAAAAGAAGCGAAGAGACGATTGAGTGCATAATTCCAACAACGTGACTAGAATACACATGAAGTATATTATTTTCCTTTGATATAGTAAGCGTATATTTTCCTTTCCCATTAAACGTAAACTTCCTTGCCAGGTAATATAGCGAACTTATCGACCAATATACAGTAAATATTTATTTATAAGATACGCCACGTACTCATGAGACGTATTTTGTACAATTTTGCGTTATTTTCCCTGAAAAAGAAGACGGAAAAATAGATTCCGAGAAGAATTCATCCGAGTGCTTTTAACAAGTTATTAAAAAAAATCATATTAGGAATCCAATTTCTCCAACTAACAGTGATGTTCAACTTTTGCAATCCCCTTATAGCTGATTTGCCTTACTATTAACAATATAAGAAGACAATGGGAATCATGCGCGGTTAGTGATACGCAGTTTAAATTAAAAAAAAAACAAGAAGTTTTACTCTTATACATATTTCATTAAAAATATTATAGATTTATAGATTTGCCTTAGTATTCACATCACATCACTTTTATCGCGCATTTATTTAGCGCAAATTAAACTACTCCGAATTTTCGCGCGATGCACGATTATTTCCGCAAGACTAACTCGATTTAGCAGACAAATCTGTTATTTTGAAGAGGAAAACGAATGCTGACGCGGTTAAAACACGTTAAAGATGATGACATAAACCCACTTGTTTCATTCCGATCGATAGTAGCCTGTAATCTCGTCCAATCGTTTAAACGTCAACGTTTTCGCAGCGGAAGCCTCGTAATGGGAACGTTTCATTTCGCCATGCCAAGCAGGTAAAAGTGCTTTTAATACAGAGCTTACCTATATAAAAATATGTGACACATCTCATTTACGTTTTAAGTATATTTTTCTGGTTATGCATGTAAAATGGCTCATAATCTCAATGTTAATTTTCCCTTTATTAGAAAAAAAAAACATTCCTATATTTTTAATCGTTTCTAAATTAAAAAATTATCCGCGCAGCAACATTTTACATTTAAGAAAAAAATAGCACACACCGATAAAGAAGTCGATTATTAAACTCGAGATAAAATAAAGATTCTCTGGGCTATTCTGTGCATCGTGTCACTTAAAAAGAGGCATCGACTATTGAAAAACTATGGATCTCTCGTTTATTTGTTCCGGAGACAAATGAGACGTATCAACGTCACTTACGGCAACTATGTTACAAACAGGAAATCGTCAGAGAAGTAGTGGCATAATTACGTCATTCCATAATACTCAAGTGACTAATTATATCACTCGATAATGTCCGATAATTACGGACGATCCTCGGTTAATACATTAACGCATCAAGGAGGCACGACGGTACTTGCGGACAGTTAGCCGCTCGTTTACCGCCACGGAGAGCATACTATATTAATTTCGTTATATCGGGTGTCGCGATATATTGTTCTTGAGCAGAGAGTCGCCCGAGAGCGGAGCAATTATATTATAAGATCCCCGTAAAATCGCATCGGAAGGAAACATAACTTCGCGCCGCATGACATATATAAAAATTGCAGTATCATTTAAGGCTCGCGCATTGCAGCCGTATAACAGCAAATTGCTTCGTTGCAACAGCAATATTTGCCAGAGACAGACCCTATTTCGCTTTAGCGGCAAATTAAAATTGCTTTAGTAGCGGATTCTGCGAACAAATTTACTCAGCAAGATTTTTCAATATAAAAGCACGTTTCGCTGTAATATCAAATAATTTGCTATGGTAGCGAAGTTCGATTACTTTCACATCGGATATGCAACAGCAGCCGCGGTAATAAAGTTCTCATTTTTCGTGCAAGTAATTTCTTCCTGACGATACTTCCTGACCGTTTTCAATTTCCTTGACTTTCCCCGTCTGGGTCTTTCCCAAGGAGTCTTTTTTAGACTCGTGACTGAGCGACGTTTAACCGCATATGATCATCTCGTTAAAATCATCTATTTGCCGCGCCTTGCCCGATCTGTTTCATCGACAAAGTCGTGTCTGAATCATATATCGAATATCTCGGGCAGATATCGAATTTCGCGAAAAAACTCTTCAGGGACAGGCCAGAATACTATCAATTACATCACAAAATATCATGACTGAAAAAATACTGAAAAAAGTGTTTATTCATCAATATTATAAAACTGCATACGTAATCGAGAAAAGATGGAAAACTCGAGTTTATCGGTTCAATTATTTTTACCTGATAACAATTTATGTTTATTTTAATTTATTGAAAAAAAAACTCGTAAAACTCCACCTTTCAAAAACTTGTTATTAATGTGTCTTAAGCCATCAGTGTAAAAATGTATTATTTTTCGTACGTTTCAGCAATTTTATTTATATAATTGCTCACATATTTTTGAATATGAGAGAATATTTATGTTTGACTCCATCTAGCGTATAAAAGTAACAATACCTATATACATATAATACTTATTTGATATACATATATAGAAATATTATATTGTATATCAGTTGTATTATTATGTCAACTTTCAAACTCTAAATGGAATCAAACATAAATAATCTCTCGTATTCAGAAATATACAAACAATTATATATATATATATATATATATATATATATATAAAATTGACAAAAAATATAAAAATATATTAATCATATATAATATTAGTGTCCAGCGTATACATTCTATATCTATTTTTTGGAAATGGGGTTTTCAGGTTTGACCCACCAATAAATTAAAATAAACATAAATTATTATCAAGCAAAAGTGATTGAGTTGATAAGTGTTTTCTATTTTTCAGATGTTTTCTTGATTATGCAGTTTCGTCAGAGAAGATAGACGAGTATAGAAGCACGGATCTATATGTCAAAATGTATCATAAGCTGGGGGTACCCCAGAGATTCTTATAGCGTTTTCGGACGGATTTGATCGCTCCGAGAGCATTAATGCTCTCCTCGTTCTTCTCTGTGATGCCATTGACGTCATTAATCTCTCGGAGCGATCAAACCCGTCCGAAAACGCCATAAGAATTTCTCGTGTACTCCAGCTCGTGATACATTCTGACATATATAGAGATCCGTGCTTCTATATACTAGTCTATCTTCTCTGGTTTTGTGGTATCTATGCATGGACAATTTTTCGTTCGGCTACACTTATGTGCTTACAGTCTTGTCATATTCAAAATTGTGTTTCTTTGATTATATTAACTTTTATATTCCAATTAAACATAATTTCATGTATTCAAAAATATAAAGAATTACTTATAACTGACGAAAATGATGAAACATAAACATATATTTTTTATTTCCGCACTCATTTTTGGAAGATAGAAATGTTGACTCGCGGTAAATAATTAAAACAAATGTAAGTTATGATGTAGACTCTTGCAATTAAACGAACATCAGACGAAGATGAGCTATAGAAGTCATTTGTTTTTCTAACTTTCGTTCTTGACTACATAACTCATCTTTACGAGACCTATAAATGGACATTTTTTTTTAATTTATCAATATTTTGACGGCATTCACCGTCGACGTATCTACTTGTACCGATCGCGCGATGATCTCTTTGTGCGATTACAGATGTGCACCTGATGAATATCGGCATGCACCGCGCACATGCATCGCGCGCGCCGCAACTATAAGCGAGGTCACGCTTCGAGTATGTTCTTCGGGATTGGGGATTGACGTGTCACCATAGAAAATATCGGCTCCACCCGAATAAAAATCGCGCGTTCGCTTCGTATGGATTTACGATAGCACGAGGAAACGATCAAACCGGAAATGTCAAATCCGAAGATGACAAATTGTAAAGAGTTAAATATAAATTTTGCAAAAATAGAATATATAAGATATATGGAAAAATGGTATTAGATTAGATATTATTTGGAGATATTTTTTATTCTTTAAGATATAGATATACGGTACGTGGAACAGCGGCAAAGAAATTATTATTTAAGAAAAATTATATAAACAATTTTAATACTGTATGAATATTGTACGAAAATAAATAGAAAATTTTATAACATTGAAATTATATTTCTCTAAAGTGAGCAAAGAAAATCATAAGAGATTTAAAAAGTAAATGTTATTGGAAGACAAAATATTATATTTGGGGATATTAGAGCCACATTTAAACATTTTTATTGAACTTTATTCAAGTTGTTGACTACTTCGGAAGGCCATGTTATATCAATTTTTAACGTAGCAAATAAAAGAAAAATGTTATCACACACATTTTCCTTTTATCTTGTCGTTCCAATTCCAGTGACGTCCCGAGGGACTGCTCGGCCAGTTTGTACTTTAATTCCCATATTCCCGAACCTGTTTTGCGATTTAAACGCATCCAAAGTATTACATATAGCACTCTTTCATTTCCTGTCTACACAACTCGCTCGAGATGCATGGAGTCGTCTTCGTGATTTTGTGTGAATGCAAAAATATACTCGAGCTCTTGGGAGTGTTATGAAAAGAAATCGGTATGAAGATTAATGTATATCCTGCCACTTTGTATTGGATGAAGAAGATTAGTATCAATTTATATCAAAAGTATCCATTTATAAGTCTCGCCATAGGTATGTAGTCAAAAACAAAAGAGCTGGAAAGATAAAAAGCTCCAAACATGATTTCTATCATCTTCGCCTGAATCTTTGTCAATTATAACGTTAACTTTGTATTATAATGTTTGAAGTCTGCATTACACTGTACATTTGTTTTTGTTTATTTACCAGTGCTTCTACTTTCCAAAAATTAATGCAGAAATAAAGAAATAAGTTTACAATTCTCT